GGGGTCGGCGTGTGCTGCGTGCGGGTGTGCGCGGGAGGGAGGCGCGCGGGCGGCGGGGCAGGGTTAAGACTATACTTTCAGGGATCATTTCTGTAGTTGGTCACTAGAGGAGAGTGATCGCACCTGATCGGCGTCACAAGCCACGAGGAGGAGCAGGGTGTTCTCTCCTGAGCGCGAAGCGGGCGGGCGGTGCTGCCTGGGCAGGGGCCGCTCGCCATTGATGACCGTTCCCGGCCCTGTTGTTGGGGCTCGGGAGGGAGAGAACACGGGCTGAGTGGTTTGTGGCCCTTTTTTTTTATTCGTGGTTAAAAACAGTTCGACTTCCCCATTATCTTCCTTTAATGGTCATCTCTGTCCCTGCTGATTATTAATTCCAAATAGTAATTAATTATTTTGATTAATCAAAGTAACTAAATATTGGAAATCATAAAGGGTTCTGACTGGAAAAGGACCCACAAACATTATAGAGTTCATCAAGAGATGAAATGGCCCATGCAGGGATCGAACCTGCAACCTTGGCATTATTGGCCCCATGCTCTGACCAATTAGTAAAGAATAATTATTTATTAATAATTTCTATAATTATATAGTAATTTATTACAATATAATCTCTATTCTATTCTATTCTATTCTATTCTATTCTATTCTATTCTATTCTATTCTATTCCATTCCATTCCATTCCATTCCATTCCATTCCATATTAATTATATTATATTATAATAAACATATAACATTATTATATTATATTATATTATATTATATTATATTATATTATATTATATTATATTATATTATATTATATTATATTATATATATTATATTATATTATATTATATTATATTATATTATATTATATTATATTATATTATATTATATTATATTATATTATATTATAATAATATTATATTAATTTTTTATTAATTCTGCCCTCCTGTGTTATATGTGCTCACGTGTCGATCATTTGTACTAATACCATATATATATAGATTATTACAATATATATTTTATAATATAATATATTCCTATAATACAGTGATATAATTATTTCATTTTATTTTATAGGTATGTTTATTTTATATAATATATTTTATATAATATATAAATATATGTAATGTATATTATATATTTGTCTTTGCATTTTTTTATAAATATATATGTATACATATACATCCATCCCTCTAATTTAAACAGTCCATATAAATCCTTACTAATTCCTTACACAACACATAAAAGCACCATTTGTTACTTACCCATCCTTTATTTCAAATCCTCATGGACAAGCAGCGCTTTCAATCCTTATAGAAAATCACATAAAATATCATTTTGTCTTTTTTTTTCTTTAATTTGTGCTGCAGCTCAGAGCTGTGAGATGAAGCAGCAGCTTTTATTAAAACAAGCAGCACCTCGGAATCTTTGGTTTCCTTGCAGGAATTTTTGTTGATGCTGTGAATTCCATGGGTCAAACCTGTCTCTTCACTGCTGCGCTGCTGGGGCTGGGTAAAATCGTGGATGTGCTGCTGAGATTTGGCTCAGATGCCAATCAGTTAAGTATCAGATTTATTTTAGTGAAAATTAATCCTTGAAAATTAATCCTGTGAAACACAATATTCACTGGGCATAAACGAAAATGTGCTTAAGATGCACGTTGCTATTTTAGCCAAAGCTCCTCAGAGGTAAATAGAGGTTTATTCTGTTATTTGTTTATTCTTTTATTTGATGTGCTGCTGAAATCTGGCTTAAATGCCAATCAGTTAAGTATCAAACTTATTTTTTAATGAAATGAATCCTGTGAAATACAACATTCACTGTGCATAAACGAAAGATGCACGTTGCTATTTTAGCCCAAGCTCCTCAAAGCTAAATAGAGAAATAATTTGCCTTTTTTTCATGGTTTATTCTGTTATTTGTTTATTCTGTTTATTCTGTTATTTGATGTGCTGCTGAAATCTGGCTTAAATGCCAATCAGTTAAGTATCAAACTTATTTTTTAATGAAAATTATTCCTTGAAAATGAATCCTGTGAAACACAACATTGACTGGGCATAAACGAAAGATGCACATTGCTATTTTAGCCCAAGCTCCTCAAAGCTAAATAGAGAAATAATTTGCCTTTTTTTCATGGTTTTTTCTGTTATTTGATTATTCTGTTTATTCTTTTATTTGATATGCTGCTGAAATCTGGCTTAAATGCCAATCAGTTAAGTATCAAACTTATTTTTTAATGAAATGAATCCTGTGAAATACAACATTCACTGTGCATAAACGAAAGATGCACGTTGCTATTTTAGCCAAAGCTCCTCAAAGCTAAATAGAGAAATAATTTGCCATTTTTTTCATGGTTTATTCATTTATTCATGGTTTATTTATTTGGGAGTGCACCAACATTCCAGGAATTCTGCTTTTCCCCTTGCTGAACGTTTTTTTTGCCGTTCCCCAGTCGCTGCCACGATGGGAGCACCCCGGTGCATGCAGCTGCATTTTCAGGAAACCAGCAGATCCTCAGCAGGTTACTGGATGAAGGAGGAGATCTCAGAGTCCACGACAAAGAGGGCAAAACTCCCCAGTTCTGGGCTTTGTCAGCCAGGAAGGAAAGCAGTGCTCAGGTATTTGTGTGGAAAGCTGATTCTCGGCTGCAATATTGATTTAAAACTCCTTTTCTCTGTTATCACAACGCTCCTCTTGAAAAGAAACCTGGAATTATAATTTTCTGTGGGTGAATTTTCGAATTTTTTCTTCCATTTTCATGTAATTGATTTTCTTCAAGTTTTTTTCTGTTAATGTCCTTCTCAAAATGCCAGTTTCAAATAACCGCTTATTTTTCCAATAGTCCTGATTTATGAATTTGAAATATTTTTTTTTCTTATTCTGAAGCCTTAATTTATTGTTCTTCCCTCCTCCTGCTGCTGCCCAGATGCTGGAATTTATCCAACAGTGCACACTGCACATGCAAGCTGCAATTTGGAACCTTCCCTCTGATCTGCTCAGGAAAGTTGGCTCCTCAAAGGCCTTGATCTGCAGCCCCTCGAGGTTTGGTGGCCTTGTCCAAGGGTAACAAGAGATTTTATTTCCATTTTCTGTTGTTTTAACATTAGCAAGTTCTTGTATGTTTTTGACAATAGCAGATTTAAGTCCATTGGGATTAATTTGATTTCTGTTGTGACAGCTCTAAGTAGAAAATTGATAAATATCTGTATATTAAGAGAAACTTTATTAATTAAACTCTTGAAATCAGCAAGCACTGGGTTTTAGTAGCATTGAAGTGGTAGCATGAAATTGTTTTTTGGACTTTTTAAGATCACTGCAGATCTTTTTGGGGGTGTGTTCCCAAATGTTTCAGGAGTTTTTGTGTCAGATACATTGTTGGGAAAAATACAGACTTGTGGTCAAAAAGGCAGTGCAGGATATACAGTGTGTGTATATTTATTGGTTATCTTGCTTTAAATAAATAAATATCATGAAAATTAAAAAGTTTTAATGAGATGCACAAGAATTTGCAATTTTAACATCCACATTATGTGTGTGGGACCAGTCAAGTGCAGGGTTCTAGCAGAAATTCTGCTTTTTTTTTCCTCTCTCTCTGTATCCAAGTCTTGGAGTAAATAAGTTACTCTTATTGCTTTTGTTTTTGGTATTTAGAAATGCTGATAATTCACTGGGAAAATTCCTGAAAGGACAGCCCAGTGTGGCCAGGAACATTTACAGCTTTGGTTTTGGGAAGGTAAGATGCTGTGGGTAGGGATTTTCTAATGACATTAAAACTTTTTTTTTTTTTTTTACAGAATTTCCTGCAATTATCCCACCTGTGCTATATTTTAACTTTTAGTGCATTCTTATTTCTGCTGAAAAGATGGGAAAAAACCCACGAAGGGCACAAATATCCAGGCCTTTGGTGGATGACAGGCCCTGGTTTGCTTTGGAACAGCAGAAATTCCTGTTAAATATCACCTGTGGGGATTCCTAAGGATGGGTTCTGCCTTTCCTCTTCCAGCTTCACTGGGCAATTTAGATTTTGGCCCTGAATATTCAGATTTTATGGTGATGTTTGAGCTGGTGCTGCCCTCACAGTGATTACACTCAGGTTGTTAATGAGCTTGTTGGAATTTGGGAGCTGTTGGGTTTTCCTGTTGGTGATGCCCTGTTTCAGTTCTATCTCGCAGGCAGTGGCCACCTGGGCTACCTGGCCTCTCTCCCAATTATTGGGGAGAAAGATGTGATTCAGGCTGATGATGAACCAGCATTTTCTTACCACGTGGGGCCCTACATGATCATGACCAAGTAAGTGGAATTAAAGAGATTTTAGCCCCTCTTTGTGTCTGTTACAACCACACAGCAAATTGTTGTACCAGTGCTTTGTTTGGGTAATTTTCCACGTCTGTTCTGTATTTATTCCCTGTTTCCTGCTTGCACCTTGTTTTCTGCTGTTCATTGATTAATATCTGAGTCAGACTGATGTCTGAGAGGCCAACAACAACCCACAAGCAATATTAACCCAATTATGGCTAATCACTGATGGCAGGGTTTCAGGATTGATCTCTTTGTGGTGGGAAATACATTTAGGGTTGCACAGATGGTGTTGTTCAGCATTTAATCCTTGTAAATCTTAGTCCAGGATGTCCTCTGGATATCCAGGTGTGCAGCCCACTTGCTCAAACCTGTGGTGAAATGAGAATTGCAAGGGCAGGCCGTGCATTTATTTAAAGTCTTTGATATCATGGGATTGTTGTAATTATTGGTAATAATTACAGTGATATAGTCTTGTCTAATTGTTGTTTGTTAAGCAAGTGGTTGTGTCTCAGAGGCAGACAGAGAATTGACAAACTGGTGATTTAATCTCCCCAAAACTCTGATTTGTGTCACTGATGGCCTTGGTGAAGGGAATTCCTGGTGGAAGGGGTGAGATTTTGGGCAGTGAACCTTTCCTGCTCCACCAACCTTTAGCAGGATGAGTTGATTGTCAGTTTGGAAGAGCAAACCCTCAAATTTAAGTTCCTGCCAGCGGCAGGCAGCACCAGAGCACCACCAAATTCTCAATAAATAACCCCATAACTGGGAAAAAAAGAGAAAAAACACTGCTGGAAGCATCTGGTCCAAATCCCTCTTGTTGTTGTAGCTTGGTGTGGGGAGGCAGCAGAGTGACAGTGAAGGAGCTGAGCTTCCAGCCCCAGCAGAACTGCTGGAAGCTGCGCCTGGCTGATCTCCTCCTGGCAGAGCAGGAACACAGCAGGTGGGATGGGAGCTGGGCTTTGGGTCTCCAGGGATGGGAGGGATGGGATTTACCTCGGGAGGACACTCAGGAGTGTTAGGTTGGGGTTGCACTTCTTCCCCACATAAGAAATACAGTTTCCTTCCTGCTCCTGATCTTTTAAAATGGAGTAATTCAGTGAAAAATAAATTTACACTGAGATGCATTCTAGTGAAAACACAACATTCATGTTGTAGTGATAAAAACACTGGGCAGGCCAGGACTTTCCTTCTTTTTGTCTCACATTTGCCTTGCAAATTTGCCTTTCCCTCTCCCTTTGCAGCAAACTCCGCCACCCTCACTTGCTGCAGCTGATGTCTGTTTGTCTGTCCAGTGACCTGGAGAGAACTCGTTTGGTCTATGAGAGGGTTCACTTTGGCTCTCTCTACAGCATCCTCCATGAAAGGGTAACTGCAGTGCTTGAATTTCAAATAATTGTTCATCAGAAGTTTAGTGACTACCTCTAACATCTTTCCTCAAGAAGACAAAATCCTCAGTCTGTGTCTGAGTTTCTGGGTCTTTTTCTTATTTTTTAAATCGATTTATCCGTGTTTTATTGTTGTCATTTGATATTTTTCTCTTCTTTTTAAGGTGCTGTTATTTGGTTTGGCGTTGAGAACAAAAAAATATGAATTTCCTCCTTTTCCTCCAATAAATTTCACATTTGCTGCCTTCTGCAGCAAATAATAACCATAATAAATAAGAACAACTGTCTCTCACATCAAGTTTAAAGACTTGCCATGCTGATTTGGTGCTTTTGGGGCTGTTTTCCCAGCGTACAGAATTCCCAGTGCTGCAGACAGAGACCATTTTGCACATTTTGCTCCAGATCATCGACGCTCTGCGTTTCCTGCACTCCCGGGGATTTCTCCACCGCTCCCTCTCCTCCTATGCCATCCAAATTGTGTCCTCTGGGGAGGCCAAGCTCTGCAACCTGGAGTACATGATAGAGAGGTGAAAAACTTCCTCAGGGCTGCTGGGAAATGAGGGGTTGAACATCCAAAACCTCGTTAAACTGGTGGCAATTAGGTGCCACCAATGAGACGAAGAGTATTTATTTTCATCTCAGTAAATTACTACTGAAATTATCCCCTAGACACACTGTAGAACAAATTTGTTTTTTTTTTTTTAGGCTTCCTGTGTTTTATCCATGGTCAGAACTAAAGGGTTGTTTGTAAAGCTCATGTTGGGAGAAGTTCAGCTTGTTTTTAGTTCTTAAGTCATTAAAGGAGGTGTTGCTTTCTCCAGAAAATCTTTTGATTTTGAAGTAAATGAAGGCATTTACTTCACATTTCTATTTGCAGACATGCCCTGAACCTTTTATGTGTTAAACTAAAAGCTGTAACACACTCAGGTGTTTAATTCCTAAATATAAACCTTGTAGCTGAATGTGTTGTGTGTCCTAATTTACCATTTTTTCCCTTTTTGCAGCAAGGACAGTGGAGAGCACAGTGACCTGACCCGAATTCCTGTCCCAGTTCAGCTGTTCCGCTGGTGTTCCCCTGAAATAATCCTGGAGAAGCCTGGGACAGTTAAATCAGATGTTTACAGCTTCTGTGCAGTGCTGCAGGAAGCCTTAACAGGTGAATGCACAGCTTTGGGCTGGGATGGTTTAACTTAAAAAATTCTCATTAAAAAAATGAACCAGGCAAAAACCCCCAAATATTAATGACAATAACAAAGATTATTGAGACCTCCTGTAAAATGTGATCAAAAAACTTAAAATTCTGTGGCTAAAGGATGAAATTAATGGTGGATATTACAGACATATAATGGTGTTTTGCTGATTATTTTTCTTCTTCCTACCAGCACAGCAAAACATTCAATTAAGTCTTTTCAGTGTTCAAAACAATCTTGTGCAGCTTTCATGTGTTTGATCTCTGTGTTAACTTAGAGATAAGTTATTGTTACTGTATTATTATAATTCACTGTTGTTGTTGTTACAGATAATGTCTGTTCTGTTCTTCACTTTGACTATTCTGACAGTGAAATGGGATAAACAATTACTCTAAAAATTAATCCCAATGAAGAATCCAGAGCAGGGTTGTTTGCAGTGTCACTCTCTAGATATTCCTGTCAGCTCCCTTGAAAGCATCTTGTGTTGGAATAAGACAGGGAGGAGATGCCAGTGCTTGTTTTTAATTGTGAATTAGGGAATGGACAGGGAATAATGTGATTTTTATTTTTTTAAGATTTTTTTTTTTCAATTTCCATTAACATTAGCATACAGCTGGTGACATAAAGTCTGTACTTGTGTCTTTCAGAGAGCCCTCCCTGGAAGGGTGTGGAAGACTCAGCTGTTAAGCAGCTCATCCTTTCAGGGGAGCAGCTGGAAGCAGATGTCAGGCTCCCCCTGATCTATTATGAAGTTGTCAAGTCAGGGCTGGAGCCCAAACAGAGGAACCGCTCCATGAAACTTCAGGATATTCAATATATCCTGAAAAATGACTTAAAGGTGATTTCCAGCATTCTAATGTTTGCTGGATATGCTGTGTCCATTCAGATTCAAGTTGTTCTGCTTCAGTCTAGAGGAAGTGATCCCACACTCAGTGTTCTGCTCATGGAGCTGAACCCCCTCAGAAGAGCAGGCAGAGGCACAGAACTGTCAAATACAATTGTATTTTACTCCATTTTTGTTTTGTTTTACAGGATTTGGTTAAGTCTGAAAGTGGCCATGCTGGTGGAACACCCAAAGCACAGAGATCTGCTGTTCTTGCAGATGTGAACATCTGCTGGGCATCAGCTTTTAGCTTCCAGAAGAGGACAGTGGAATTCCAGGAAAAAGAGATAAGCAAGGCTGGTGAGTTTCTTGGAGCAGGATGTCACTGTGTCCTTCATGTGTTCCTCAGTCTGAAAATCATTAAAATGGGAGCACTCACAGATTTTATGATGTAGGTTGAAAATAGGAAGCAGTTGGCTTTGGCTTTTAGCTACCACTTAATTGTTAATGTGAACTCAAGACTCTAAATCTGTTTTGTGCAGGCACAGTTTTCAGCAGAGGTGTCAAATGCTTGCAAATTTGGAATTTCTAAATTTCCAGAATTAACTCCTCAACGTGCCAAAGCAGCACAGCTGTCAGATTTCTGGAGAAGTGATTTAATGTTTCAAATGGAATTTTTCAGGTGGCTTTTCTGCCCCCACAGGCTCTGTTTTCCCCAGGGAGAGCAGTGCTGTGGTGGTGCAGGAGGCAGCAGCCAGCGCAGAGCCAGCTGCACAGGACACAAGCCCCGATGTCTCCTCTGAAGTGCAGACAGGAGCTTTTCGCTCCAGTGAGAGTGATGTGGATGAGAGCCTGTGCAGCTTTGAGATGAATGAAATCATGGCCAGTTATCCAGAAGGTCCCCAAGACTCCCTGGAAGAAGGACCTGGATTAGGCCACGCTCCAAAGGATGCAGAAAGGCAGCGAAAGGAAGGAGATCAGAGCCAGTGGGAGGATGAGGAGGAAGGGGAATCCTTGGGGTCCAGCACGGGGTTCACTGGAGAGGATGAGGAGGAAGAAACGGAGGAAGAAGAAGAGGAAAGGGTGAGAGAAGCCTCAGCCCTGTCCCAGGTGAGAGGAGATGCTGGCAGGAGGCTGAGCAGCCCTTCCCAAAGCGACCAGCACATCAGCAAATGCGTCCTTGACGTCAAGATCATGCAGAGCATGGTGCAGCAGGCAGGAGATTGCCTGAGCAGGACAGAGGAGATCCTGGACAGGCTCAATGCCATAGGAGAGCAGAAGAAGCTGCTCCAGGAAAGCAGGATGAATCTGCTTCCTAAGGAAAGTTCTCAAGGAAGACGCTGGAATGGGCCTGATGGGCCTTCCCAAAATACCAATAAAGCTTTTTCTGGAGTTGGTATTTTTTTACACAAGGCTGTAGGTCCACCATCCAGGGACTACATTCCACCATCATTAAGGTGTCAGGCACCAGGCAGAGACAGCTTCCAGGCTGTTCCCAAGACAGCCAAGGAAAGAGAGGCAATTCAAAATGAGAAGTGGAAGAGCAAAATTGCGGCCAGCCGTTGTGATCCGGGCTGCAGCGGGGGCAGAGGCCTGGATGATGAAGTGAGCCTGAACCAGGAGGTAAAGTGTTGAGCAGGGGGCCTGGTTATCATTTCTGTGTTCCTCAGCAGGCAAAGAGATGCAGGGATGGGTGGTGCTCAAGAGGAAGGGTGAATCTGTCCTTTTAAAGGTATTTGTGTGTGTTATATGCAGGAATGAAAACAGCCCAGCAGTGCAATTGTAGCATTTCCTCTTTCTCTCCAGTCCTGCCAGGGAAATACTGATCCAGTGGCTCAGGGTGGGGTTAAAATCCAAATTCTGCACTCAAATGGAGATGGGACTTCTGTGAAAAAGGCCAGTGGAGAAGTATTTTCGTTTGTGTTGAGGCCTAAGCTGTTATTGGGAAGGGTTTCTGGATCACTTTCATTATTAAATACATGGACCAAAGAGAAAGAGAGAAATTCAAGTACATATCTCCTGTGGGGATACTCTTGAGTCATTCAGGTCCACTCATCTCCCTGGAAGCTGCACATTTTGATTGTCTTCCTGCACCTGAAACCTGCCATAAATCCGAGGCAGATTTTGTTAGGCCGAGGCCTGGACTTGTCATCCTTTCTCCTGAGCAGAGCAGCTAAAATAGAACTCAGGGAATAAAGTTTGTGCTGTCCTGTTCTTAGGCTACCTCACAGACAGCTCAGGCAGTAATTAGCAGAATGCCCAGAGTGTGCTGAATCATGGCTTGTTGGACTCATTTCAGCATTTCCTCCCACACGTGGCTGCGAGGTGCCAAAAAAAGTTCAACTTGCAGTGTCAGAGAGGAGCTGATTCACATCCTGCAGCAAGAAGGGAAGAGGAGAAGTGGTGAGTTTTGATCTTATTCATAGAAGAGTTAATTCTGACAGATTCATCTGGAGAGAGACGCTGTCAGAAGGAGGCACATCAGGATCAAGGCTGGCATTAAATGTTCCTCAGTAAGGCAAAAGCCATCTGTACAGAGAGGAGCCTGCTGTGAGTCACTGTCAGCTGCAGAGCTGCTGTGACAGGGCACTTTGTGGTAAAGAATGGTGTTAAAAAAGATTTCACATGCCTCTGGGATGGAGGTCAGTGGTCCAAAACTGTACCAGTGCCTAAGGAGGGAAATCTGGGAAGATATTAATAGAGGTGGTTCTCCTCTCTGGGCACAGCCTCCTTCAATTCCCAGTATAAATACTTTTAAAGTCGTCTCTTTGTGTTTTTAAGCATGAATGGAAAGCACATGTTGAAATTACCTGGCAAAACTTGTGCAGATTCATGTTGGAAAGTGTCTGTCACTTCTTTCAGTGTTTGGTCAAATCAGGAAAACTGCTGCAGTTAAACTTAAACTTTAAACTTAAAATTAATCCATGATCCATTGGGATCAGAAAGACCTGTTGGTAAAGGTTAGAACAGAAATATTCCAGGTGCTGACATGGTCAGTGAAGGTCAGGCAGTGAACTCTGCTGGGAGAGTTATTGTCCAGCTCTGAAACTGTGATCATCTCAATAAAACAATCCCCACATCATCCATGGTGTGTTTTGGGAGCTGCAGCATCTGAAGGCAGCTGACAGCTCTGAGATGCAGAGCTGAATGTCTGGTTAATCTAGAATAGACCTAAATAATTGTCTGTGCTTTCCAAGCTTCTGGCTGCTCAATCTGCTGGTTCTGCTGGGTTGTTAAAAGGCTGAGAGCACACGTGCTCTAATTAATGTTAAAAACAACTTGGAGCCTTTTCCTGGCTGGGGAATACTTGACACAATATGCTCGTGCTCTAAAGGAGTTTGTGCATTTCATGATCATTTACTGCAGGTGCCATTCAAAACCAAGGGCTGAATTCTGCAGCAAAAAAAAGAGTGAGAAGAAGAGGGTGATGCAGTCAGGATGGAGGAGTGAGTAAATCAGTGTTAAATCAGTGTTAAATCAGTGTTAAATCAGCTTCAATATCAGAAATCTCGCTGCAGTGCAGTGCATTAAACTCAACACACGAGGAGAGGTCTCTGTGCCTGAATTGCTGAAGCTCTCTGAGGTGGTTCTTGGATGGAATCCAAGTGAGTGGGATCCCGTGTCTTGCACATTCTGGGCATAAAATAATCCCAGGCACGTTGGGTTGATGGAGCTGAAGGAATTTCTATCCTGGTTTTGGATGGTGTGTGGGTGCAGGAAGGGCAGGGATGGCAGTGCCCAGTGGATGGCAGCACGGGCACGGATAATAGAGAGTCAGACTAACAAAACCTGTTCCTGGAGACACTTGAGTTAAACAATTTGTGCAGGTTTTAAGATTCATTTAAAATGGAAGGAAGTGTTCAGCTCTTCTCATGACAAAGGCTGTCGTGCTACCAGCTCTAACATTTCCAAGTCTGCAATGAACCAATTCCAAGGCACAAGGAAACGCAGGGGATGCTTTGAGGGTCCAGATTCTGTGGTGTGGGTCCAGATTCTGTGGTGTGGGTCCAGATTCTGTGGTGTGGTGGTAATTTTGTTCTTTTTGTGTAGCTGAAGTGGAGCAGTTGGCCAGAAGAGCGGTCTCAGGCCGGCTGGGGCTCAGCTGTCCGTACCCTGCCAGTGAATGCACGTCTGAAAGTGAAGCAGAAAGTGCCAAGGAAACCTCCCAGCAGGTCCCTGCTGGAGCCCCACACAGCCAGGACCAGCAGAGGTGTGCCTGGCAGCCAGCTGAGGGTGCTGAGACCTGGGACCTGGGCACTGAGGATAGAACTGAATCTGGGGAGAGCGATCTGGAGCCTGCACTCACGAGTTCCACAGGTGAGGCTGAGAAAGAAAACGCTCTGCTCTCTTTTTGTCTCCTTCCATTTCCAGACAGATTTCAGCTGCTGTGATTTTTTATTTTTTTTTTTACAAGAATTGTCCATTTTATCTTCCAGAGTTTTGCCCTCAGAGCAAGTCAGTCACTCCTTGATGGGCATAAATAGAGATAAGATGAGTATTAGGTGTTAATAGGTGGAGGGAAGGAGCTTGGAGCCTTCATCATCACTGATTATTGTTATCAGCATGAGAAACCCAAAGCTTTCAGACCCTTGAGTGTGCTTTCACACTTTTATTTCTTCCAGTCTCACCACACACATCTGCTTTTACTTTTTTTTTTTTTTTTTTTTTTTTTTTTTTTTTTTTTTTGAGCAGCTTAGTAGGTAAAGCTTTTAAAAAAGTTCTGGACAAAGCAACAGGGCAAGGTTCCCCTGCTTAGATTAATTAATGAGGTGAGCATTTAAATGTCATTATTCCTCCGTGTTCCTGACAGACAATTAGTGTCACTGTCTGCTCTCATTGATATTCCAGCAGTGCCTCAGATCACTCACTTCATGTCTTTGTTTTGGTTTTTTTTTTTGCTTAATAATTTTGTTCCATTCTGACATCCTAGGGAGGAGCTGCCAGTCCCCAGCACCAGATGAGCAAGCAGAGTCTGGAACAGCCATTCCTGAGAGTTCAGTCCTTCCTCAGCAAGCTGAGAATCTCTCTAGAGTATGTACAGAAATCCAAGGAATTTAGTGGCAGCTGCTTCTCTGTGGAAAAGTTTAGCCTGGTGTTGCATCCTGAGCTGATCTGAGTAACAATTCCCCTCCTCCTTCCCCCTTTTTATGGTGACTTTGTGTTATAAACAAAGGTAATACAAGGAGCAGGATGTGGGTTGAAAGCCAGTGAACAAATTAAATAGAATTTCAGAATTTCAGTGGTTTTTATGGGCTGAAATATGTATTTTTTATTAATAGAGAGTGAGATCATCTCAGGTGATGATGTCTTTCACAGGGACATTCAAGGGAATTACATGGTTCTCTTAACTCACCTCCTGATGTGACTGAAGAATTCTTCACTCCTGATTATTTCCTTCCTCCTGCTCTTGAGGGAAGGTCAGAAGCAGAGGTAAAAAGAACATTTTTTTTTGGACATTGGCTACACAATGTGGTTTAATTGTGCTCTCATTTGATTTGAAAAGAGCTGTGGAAAATGGGAGATTTTTTTTTCATTATTATTCTTTTCTTTTGAAATAGTACCTGCAAATAAAGATTTAGGTAAGAGTAAGTCAATTAATCTCCATTGATTTCTGTAAGATGCAAAACTTTTCTATTTTCCTGTTAAATCCAATCTGGGCTGTTTGATGAGGAGCTCCTGAAAAATTTTTCTCTCCACTCATTATCAGGAACATCATCCTGTGAGGGTTGTCCTGCCCTTTGCTGCTGCGCTGTCAAAAATTGAATTAATTTTCTTTTTTGCCCCTTTTCAGACCTCAAATTCTGAGGGCAAAGCAGAAGACGTTTGTGGAGGATTTTTACAGAAATTACCTGGAGATGCAGCATCAGGAATTCAGGCTCCAGGTAAATGTCCTTTTCCTTGAAGCACTTGTGAGTCAGGGACATGGAATTGTTCCATTGAAATTTTTGCCAGCAGCTTTCCTATCACAAGGCTGGACCTTCATTCTTCAGGCTCAATTTATCTCTTATTCCTCATTATTTTTGGGAAAGTTCAGGACATTTAGGATTTTGGTTTGGGCATTGCAGTGCCTGAAATGATTTCAGATACAGTGTTTATGTACTTTGCTGTGTTTCAGTTAAAAAGCCAAAACAAAAACTTGTTTGAAACCTTTTTATTTTTACCCTGGGGCTAAGTTTAATCTTTTTATGCAACTTGCTGTGGTGCTGGAAACTGAATTAGAGTTGTATTTACACATTAATATTCTCATTGCTGGGAGGATCTTGGGCTTAAAAACAGTGAGAGCTGACAGAGTGCGTGTGCAGAATAATGGAAGAATCATTGTTTCCTTACTCTGCTGTCTCTTTTAGCTCAAATTTGTAAATGTTGTGATATTCCCCAGTGCTTCAGTGCCTGTCTGGCAGCTGTGCCATGTTTATGAAAATGCATCTTTAAAACACATTTGTCTCTCGATAACAACAAAGGTCGCAAGAACTCAGACAAAAAAAAAATAATAAAAAAAAAAATTTAATAAAGTCACAATTTCCTGTTCAATGAGTTGTTTTGTTTTCTTTTGTACTTGCAAAAGCCAATAACAGGGAACATTTGTTATTTGTATTCAGGAGGAAAAATACTATTCTGCAGCACAACACCACAGAGCAGTGGCAGTAACAAGCTGGGAGTGAATCAGCTGAGCCAAATGCCTGGAGCCAGGTAGAGAAACTCATTTTCATTGTTCCTTCAGGCATAAATTAGCTTTTAAAGTGTGCTCTCTTCATTAATTCTGCTTATATATCTAATATTCAAATAAGATGCCAGTGATGGTTTTTAATGATTATCTACATAACTCCTTGCTAAGGGAATATGAAAAGGGCTTTTCACAGGTCTCAAGGGGTTTTGTCTTTTTGTAGAGTTTGGTGGGGTTTTTTGCCTTAATGAGGGAGCTAAAATAAGAAAAAAAAAAAAAAAAAGCCGTGTACATATCACAATTCCTTTTCCACTGATAAACCAGAGCCTGAAACGGAGCAAAGATAATTCAAATGAAGGCTTCAGTCATCTGCTTTAATTCTGTTGTGCTTTGGTTGTGGAGCTGGAGTGAAGATCCTGCCTTTTCCAATCCCAGGGGATGAGCCCAGTGCAGGAATGTTCACTGGATCTTGCCTGGGGGTAACATCAGGTTTGGCACTCTCTGAACTCTTGGAGATTTGGCTGTCTCTGAAAAACAGGAGGGGTTTTTGTCCTGTAAATTTTGTATTTTACCAGTATGGGGAGAATTTGGCCAGAGCTCTGTGACTGTCAGGGCTGGGCTCCCTCCTCCCCACACAGGAGCTGAGTCCCATGGGCCAAAGGGAGGCACCAGCAGTGGAAATCACTCAGCTTTAGGATAAAAAAAGAATGTTTTTGGTTGCTCCCTTGACTCAGGAACTTTGGCAGCAGGACAGAGGGGATGTTGCTCTCTGAGCATCTGCCTAATCCTCTTTGACCTTGGGTGGCCTTGGCATAATCTGAGACAGATCAAAGGATGATGAAACAATGGAGTGGTGTGGATTCCTAGATTTTGGGTTTTTTTATTTCATTTCAGTTTTGTTCTGGAGCTGCAAATGTCGATTAAAAGTTTTAACAGATCCTTAATCTGTTTAAAATTACACTTTTTACCAGTCTCCACGTTCTAAGGTTTTAAGCAGAAAGTGTTTATGAGCTGCAGTCCACCTCAGAGAGAAGGTAGTGCTTAAACTTCCTGAGAGAAAGGAAACCAAATCCTTCTATTTCCATAATTTTCTGAGGGTGAATATGACCTTTCCTCCCTCGTTTCAGTGTGGATGCAGCACGAGAAGCGACACTGTGGGAGCCACAGGAAGAATGCCAAGAAAAAGATGTGTAAGAGCCACATTTTATAGCAAAACTTCAGCAGATTGGTCATTAACTAAAGAATTTTGTGTTGGTGCAAGACAGGGAGATGAGCCAGACCAAAAGAAAACTCCCCAGAGTATTGAGAGAGTATTTTCCTGTGAAAAGTTGTGAGATTGGTGTAAAAGAGTTGTCCTTAGTTGGAAATATTTTCATATTCAGAAGTAATTAACTTGCTGTTAATCTGGGTGCTCTTCTTCCCATTAAAGTGTGAGGATTCCTCGTTCCTTCTCTCCATATGGCACAGGGGAAATAAAATCACTTTAAAGAGCAAATTGCTCGTGTGGAGCCAAATAAATTTTATTACAGAAATAGCCCTGTGATTTTCAGGGGGAAAAAAAATTAGCAGAATATGTTTGTGACTCAACTAATGAAGTTAATTTATTTTTACAGCTAATGGAGATTTGCATAAAATTACTGATTTACAGGAGGTGTCTGTTCTTTTCTTGGCCTTTGAGGACAATTTAATCCAGGGTGTATCTCCTCAAAATTTGATCAATTTGGATCTCATTTTTTTCACTTGGGGGTGTTTCAGTGCCTGTGCAGATCTTCAGCAGTCTCAGTTTATCATTCTTTTAAATGCTCCCAAGACCTACATTTAGTCTTAATTAATGGCTCATTAAATTTTGTTAACCCTTGAGGTTTTCCCTTGGCTTTGGGGGAATTTTTCTGCCTTTTGGTTCACATTTGGAGTTCCTGCCATTTCTGGAAGCAGCTTCCTGAGCTGGTTTTATAGGAGGATTATTTAAAAAATCCTGGAAAGGAAGGGGAAGGAAATAATTAACCTTTTCTGCCTCTGCAACATTCCTGAGGATGGTGATTTTTGGGCCTTCCAGTATTCCTGTGGGAAGTTTCAAAGGGAACATCTCCCTCCATTCCAGTGAACTAGATAACACTGCACAAAATTAAAATTTCAAGACCCTGAAAATAGCAGGATCTGGTGATTCACAGGTGCAGGAAGTGGCTATTCTAACTGTCAGAACCTCTCTCAATAATTCAGATCAGTGGCAGATATTCAGGATTTGTCCAGCATCCCCTGTGAGCAGAACTTCCAGAGGGGTGTGGAGTGTAAAACACCTCGGCTGAGCCACGCTCCCACCAGTGTCAGCACCCCCCTGGGCTCAGGTAATGCAGGGAGGGGAAAAAGAGGATTCACAGGGAATGATTTCTCCTCTCTGTGCCAGCCAGACCTTTCTGCCAGGACTTTTTGATGTAAAAATCATCAAGGTGAATCATGGGTGCTCCATTGACACTGCAGAAATGTCAGGCTTGCAGTGAGAAACCACAAGAAATGCTGTTCCCGTTGTTAGAAATCTCATTCTCCAGCAAAGACATAGAATTAAAGGAGAATTCACAGGGACACAGCTGAAAAAGTCACTGCCTGAAAGGTCTCTGGAAGACATTGGCAGCCTTCATAAATCAGAAATTAAGTCATTCAAGTTTGAACTGATACACGTGAATTTTAGCATTTTAAAGGCAATTTCATGAGCACTCGGTGTGGTTTGAGTGTTGGTAACAAGTCCAATAATACAATAAATGTTTTTTGCACTGGAGTGCTTAAGAGGGCTTGAATTAACATTTGCTTTGTGCTTCATTAATTTGGTGTAACACAATGGCTGGAATTTCTCAGCTGGCAAAGTTTTGTGTGAGGTGGATCTCCTGGGTTTTCAGTTTGGTCTTTCATGGGTAACAGTTTCTCAAGAGTTTCTTGTGCAGGTGCCTGTTCCCTTTAAACTTTATTCTGCTTCTGTTGAAATGTGATAAACACACAAAAATTCCAGAAATAATTCTCCAGCTTTGCTGTCCTTTCTTTTTTTTTTCCCTGTTTTTTTGTTGGTTTTTTTGTTTGTTTGTTTGTTTTTGGGTTTTTTTGGGTTTTTTTTAATTCTAGGGGAAAGATTTCCATCAGCCTTTGAGAAATACAAACACTGCCGTGAATTTTCTTCAGATTCTTCCTTTTGTGCCTCTCAAGAAACCTCCTCCACAGCATTCAAGACTTTCACCACAGCCTGTGAAGGGGACAGGAGCATGGAAATTCCAGTGGTGGCTCCAAGAGTTTTCCCATTTGGACTGAAAGAGCCTGTAAGTCAGAAAACAACTTAGGCCAGGAGTTTCTTTAAATATTCTTTTAATGTTCCTTAAAAATATTTTTGACAATACTTTTCCTAAAAATAAATGCAAACAGAGAAATGCTTGTAGGTCTTTGTGAGTATTTTGGAGTCCTGGCTCTGTTGATGATTGGGAAAAGTCCTGTTTGATTTCAAGGCAGTGTTGCCACTGATTATGCAAAGATTTGGGTTCCTCTCCCTTATAAATGTTGGCCTCTCTCTGAGTGGCCCTTCCCTGCCCTCCATCCCTTCTCTGGCTGTAAGGAATTTTCATTTCCCAGCCTCTGGAATCTTGGAACACCAGAGTGATAAAAACCTGCGAAGAGCTTGGGCTGAAGGAGCCCTTGGCTCAGGGCTTTGTCCTTTTTCTGCACATAAAATCTGCCCAGTCTCATCAGTTTTGTTGTGTCAGAGCCCCTCCCTTTGGAGTGCAGAGTTTCCAAAGTCACTGCAGCAATTTCCACGGATCTTTTTGGCTCTGAAGGTGTTGCCGAGCCACAGCATTTCCTCAAATTGTCTTTGCAGACAGTTTGGTATAAAATAGTTGCCTTTTCACCTTTGTTAATGTTTCCTCTGCTGGGGCTGTCGTTCAGAGCTGGAATCAGAGTTTGCTCAGGCAGGGCAGCAGCGAGTGCTCATTGTGCAGCTGACCTGACACAGGCAGGTCTGTGCCACCCTGCTCCTGTGCCACAACATTTGGAATTCATTACATTCATTTACAGGGCAAAGCTGCCCTGAGTGGCTCTGCTGATGCTGTCACTTCTTGTCCAAAACCTTATTCTAGAATTAAGTGCATATTCCCATTTTGAGGGCAGTGGGGATTTGCCTCTGGTGACCAATTCTTAATTTCAGGGGGCTCTTCTGATTAACAGATTTGTCTGGCTTTAATAATGAAGGATTCCAGCAGAGAATGGGAATTGAAGAAGTCTTGGAACTGTCCAGTCAGAAAATTCCCATCCAATTATCCATTCAGAGTGTGGAAATAAAGATTATGTAGCTGATGGTAGCTCACAGCTAAAATAAGAGTGCACAGCAGCCTAAGCAAAAATTTTGACACATCAGTCTTACTCTGTTTTCATATTCTGGATTGATTTAAAAGATTAGTTTAAAATTTAGTGGTCAGCTCAGGCTTTAATTGAAGGTTCTACCTAATTTTGGATTTAGGATGTTGAAGGGGAGGATTGAAGATCAGCAATTTTTCAATTTATCTTCTTGTGTTTCATTCTGTTTGATCTCACACAGGTTGGGTTGCCACCAGTTGCTTCATCCCTGAGAAACACCAGGCAGGAACATGGTAAGTCTTTTATCCCAGCCCCAGCCAAAATAAATTGTTCAATAAACAGAGAATTGCGTTTGAAAAGAAATACAGCAGTCTATTAATTATTTTTCCTTTTTTCCCCTTCTTCTTTTGCTCCTGGATGTCTCTTTTTAGAGGGATAAACAGCTTTGCACTCAACCATGTACTGCTGGTGCTAATTAGGTTATGGATTTTCTGTTTGCACCTGCAGACTAAGAACTCTGACCTCCAAATCAACCTCAGTTTGAAGTGTAAATATTACAGGCCTCAAATTTCTGATACAGCATTGGGAGCTGAATGCACAAGTCTGGCTTGAAATCATTTTTCCATTATGGAATTATTTAGGGAAATTTGATAAAATGTGAATGAGCCAGGCTTGTGCAGGGTGTTAAATGAAATATGTAAGCAAGATGCTATCAGAGTGTAAGCCTGTGTCACAGTTATTAAGGATTAATCACTGATAATTAACTAGATTTTTTTTTTCTCTGTCTCAGCACTCTCAGAGCCCTTCTCCATTGATGAGCTGCCTCCACCAGCCCAAGAGCTGCTGGATGAAATTGGTAAGAGGCACTTCACCCCAAACGGTGGGAGGCTTTCCAGCTGTGCTCAGTCAGGATTTCTCCCAGACCATTCACTGGCAAAATACACCAGAGCTTCCAAATTAGTTGCAGTCAATGATTAGGAAGTTGGGCATCAACAGCTTAAATAACTGGCAGTTCCTGGAGCATCTGCATTTCTCTGAGTGGTTCCTTGCTGCTGCTGACAGCACACTGAGTGCAGGTGGAGTTTAACACAGAGAGGAATTTGTGTACACTGAATTTTTCAAAGGTGTCCTGGAGCAATTCGTGTTCCTCGTTAGAGGAGGCAGCTGCACCCCCCAGGTGTCTGTGCAGAGCTCAGTGATTTACATTTCTTTTTGTGTTCACACACCTCTCCAGTCAGAAGGTGTAAAAATGCTGTGTGGTTTTCACGGGGAGGGTGTTGGAGAAGAGTTTGCTTTGCTTATCCATTATTAAGCTCTTCCTAAATTAACAGCAGACATTGGGATAATTAAAATGTCCATCCTGACCTTATTTCCTCGTTCACCAAAACAAGAACCTGTGGAGATAAGCATCATCAGTGATGCCATTAATGATGGCATTAATGATGCAGCTTGTGGGTTAAGCTATGAAAGAATTATAAATCATGTACAAGTTTTCCTCTAGGGTTGGATAAAGTTTTATGGTACTTTAGTGTATAGTCAACCTAGATCAATATGGAAATAATGCTGTTTTTAACAGAACACTTAAAGCAGCAAGATTCCATCACTCCAGACTCGGAAGGGATGGGATTGCAAGACTCCAGAGTACAAGTGAATGGTTTGTTGCTAACAGTCCCAATGTAGAGATTAAAAATAGAAAATTCCTTTTGCCTTGCTGCAAAATGCCTCTGAGTTCTCTCTGAACACGTCACTGTGTGTTCAGCTGTAACAATAAACTGCAGTTTTTAGCTTGGTGCCCTCACCAGTGTTTGCTGCCTTTCCCTGTGTGTTCCCTCTGAAGTCCACGGGGAGCTGCTGTGGGAGGTTTGCAGGTCTAACCATGAGAATTAATTTTCTGCTTTTATTATGCCACTGTAGCTTGTGCTGTGTTCAAACACAGGTGACAACACCCACAGGAGGAGAGGTGGTGGGCAGGTGATGTCAAATCCATTGAAGTTTCCATTCTGGGAGGGTGATTCAGTTCAGAAAGTGGCCAGTGCACCCTACCTGTTAATGTTCCTAATTCTCCAGCATGAAATAATGCCTCTGATTTAACAGAGTAAGAAAATAGCTTCCACTGGGGTAATGAATATTGTATTTCCTGCTCTGTTACAAAGACAGCAGAGTGGTGAATCTTTGTGCTGCTGCAAATGCAAATGGTGCTAAGTGGGAATCATTTTTAGATGTACAACAAGTCGTGTCAGAGGAGCAGAAAACCTAAATGTTTATAGGCTGTGCTTTTTTTTTTCCTCCAGTGAGTCACAAAGTGAGCAGCAGTAAAAAAAAATAAAAAATAAAGCGGACAAAAAAAGGAAAGAAAAAAAAGGCAGAACATGAGTTAAGTCTGTAAAAAGCTAAATAGCACAGTCACTTGAGAATGATGCTGGCACACGTTTGGTTATCCTACAGCTTTGTTAAGTCTTTTCCTGAGGGATGGAAGTTCATTGGAGCTTCTTGTTTTTAGGGGGAGAGGACTGCAGCAGGCTATTGCTGGCTGCTCAATCACTGTGGTTTTCTTGTATTTGCATAAAGCACAGCTATTTCAGACTCCCATTTCTTGTGGCAGCCTCGTGCTTCCTTTTATCACAGCCCAGCAGAAGGGGCTGAAATATTCCCCAATAGCCTAAACCTAAATTTAACCCCATCACCATGAATTTCCAGATGAGAAATCCCATGGGATGCCCTTCCCAGCCCCTGGAGTCTTTCACTCTCTCCACCCTAAGCCCAATCCTCACCCTGATTTCTGTGGGGAACAGAACTTGCTGATAAGTCTTTGAGGGGAAATCACTGGATTTTGGTCAGTAGGCAAACCAAGCAGACATGCTCAGGTTTCCCTTGGATTTCTCTCCTATATCTGGGATTGGGAAAGGAAAGATTAAAGATTCATTTCCACATGCATTTTTCATTTCAGTGGGAAACAAAATGTTGAGTCCTGTGAATCTGGAAATGTGTTGGAGTGAAATATTTATCTGGGCCTTGCTGCTGGCCACTTTTGGCTGCAGATAATGGGATTTTGTTCATCTGGTAAAAAATCAGGCCAATGAGAAAAGAGTGACTGAGAAGTGGGCAACTGGAAATTTCCCAAGTGCAGCAAAGAAAACAACATTTAAATGTCTTTATTATCTTCCTTTGATACTAAAATCTTGCTGTTTATGTGAATAGCTCCTGATCAAGTTACAATGGAAAACAGAGAGTCAGAAAAAGAATCTGAGAGAAATGAGAAGATAAATCAGAGTTTATGGACTAAGGAGTCATTTAATCAAGCAGAGGATACAGAAAGGTATGAAAAAAGATGGGAAGGCATGTTTGGCTTTGAGTTACAAAGACTTAGAATTTTAGCAAGATTCAATGCTTACAGAAAACCTTAAATACCCTTTTGACTGTTTTATTTGGAAATTTGCAGCATGAACCTTGTCACCACTACTTAGAAATCTTTTGTTTAACAGGGCTCACTCCAGTCTGGATGATATTTTGGAAAGAATGCTCCATGCAGTTCCTGGAGATGAGGAGATCCAAGAACAACCTCAGGGACACGCTCTTGGGTGAGCTGATAATTTATATTTGTGTTCAAGGGTTTATTTTGTGAGGTGTGTGCAGATCTGTGCAGGACTTTTCAGAAAATGGGCTGTGACTCCTTAGGGAGTGGAGTGTCAGGGAACTTGCCTGGAGGCATCATTGTGAACTCTCCTACTAAATTGAGAGGGAAAAGAATGATTTGTTAATACAATTTCCTGTAGGTGGAAAGCAAATAATTCAACAGGCTTGGAAGGCAGTGCTTGGTCTTCACAGAAATCAGAGACAATTTGACAGAATGGGGGAATTTTTTGAGACAGAGAAAATGTGCATGAAGAAAACAGAGTCATGAAAGCTCTTTATAAAGAAGAATTTGTGAAAATGGTTGTGCTTTCATGGCAGTATATTAGAGAATTTGAAGAACATGGCAGAAAACATCATTTTAAGGAAAAGATTTATATCCCAAATAACTTTTTTTCCTCTTAGAGCTGAAGATCAGAGCCCAGTAACTCTGAACAACTCCACAGTGAGTGCTCATAACTCGTCCCTAACTCTGTCTCACTAAGGAACTTGAGACATTCTTGTGTTTGGCATCACAATTTTCTGTTTCATCCTGTTCAAAAATAAAAAGAGAGAGGATGATATAGAAAACTCTGTCATTGAAGGGCTGCCAGCCTGCAGGATCCAGAAGATGCTGGAAGGAAGACTGGAGTAGAGGAGAGTGGAGCCTGGGCTGGAGGCAGAGCACCAGGAAGCTGTGCAGGGACTTCAGCAGGTGCTCTTTGTCTGTAGAGCTGCTGGATGCACCCAAAGTTTGAAATGTTCCAAATCTCTGGTTACTTTTGAAAATATTGATGGTGATTTTTAAATGTAGAAGCCTGGGGGTGTGACAATACTTGTCTTTGGACAGCATCAGCAGCTGTGCCCCTGGTTTCTGTCAGAGCTCCACTGCTGAGCTGGGATTGGGCTCCAGGGCCTGAAACCAGGATTGGTTTCTGATCACCACGAGGGTCCTGGGTGATGCACCAGCAGAGCTGGGGCTGAGCTCTGATTCCAAATGGGGCTGAATGAATCAGGCAGAGAAACCTGTAGCACTTGATTCACTTGCTGTCTCTGGGGTGTTGTGTGGCTTTCATGTTCTGAACTGAATTTCTCTGGTTTTTTAGACCAGCACCCCAAAGATCAGAAATTCCACCCCCATCAGTGGCTGACTCCAGCTCCACCCTTCAGGTGAGACTCTCTGTGAGTTAAACTGAAATTGTGCTGGAAATTTATGTGTGGCATGAGCTGCATTCCTGTTTTCCATGAAAAAGAAGCACTGTGAAATCCCATTCCCTTCATCTTGTTTATATGATAAAAAACAACCCTTTTCTTCCTCTTTTTTTTTTTTGTCCCCTGCAGGATAATTGTTTTGGATGAGAACTCTCTCCATGATTAAAACAGAGAGTGAATAAATTCTACACATCACCTGCTTGCTGCTGCTTGCACAGTGTTTAGTCTGTGAATTACAGCCCTTTTTGGCCACATAAACACCTGTAAAGCTCAGACTTGCTTTAAGTGCAGCAGCAAATTTTGAAGAAAATCTAATGCTGTGTGTTCTGATATGGTTTGTACTGGTTTGATGCCACTGTTGCATGCACAGGCAGTGTCAATGTTGCAAAAGTGAACTGTTTTTTTTTACTGTCACATCCTTATGAAACTGGTTTTTATTCTGCACGTGCTCATTCTCATAAGCTAAAGAATTTCTTGCTCTGTTGCATTATGCAGTTTTCACATTAAAGACAAAATGATTGTAATTCTGTGGGCTGCTGGTGCTGCTCAGGCACTGAAATGTTTCCATGCTAGAGTGTTACAGCCCATGTAGTGTCTGTTTTTCCTTGCTCATTAAATTTAACAAGGTAATTTCTTGTTTTCTCTTTACTTAGTGCTTTTGTGATCTAGTGTTGAACTGATTTGACTGATTAAAGGGATTAATTGCTGTGCAAAAAGCTAATGAGGAAAAGGCAGTGTTCTCCAGAGATTGCAAGTGCAGCAATATGTTCCCTGCCAGCATCAGACAAGAATGTGAAAAAAATGTGGTTGTTATGAAGATACCTGATGTTTAATTCAACCACATTTTTGGTAGGACTCATAAAAAACAACAAAAAATAAAAAATCCCTAGATATAATTGAGTTTGGATTAGAATTTTGATGGGCACAGCAATTTCATACTTAACAAATTTTTTTTTGTGATAAATACAGTTCAAAGTGCAGGAGTGAAGGTTGTTCTGTTCCCTGACAGACACACAGGGCTTTGAGCTGGTTTTGCACATCTGGGTGGGTGAAGTTTTGCATCTTCATTCCTGTTTTTGCAGGGAATTGCTCCAGCTCTGTACCTGTTAATTTGGTTTAACAACATTAATAAAAGTTTCCAAGGTTATTGTGTTGCCATGTGGTTCTTTCTCATGAAAAATGAACCATGAGGTTCATTTTTTGGGTTGTTTCGTTGGGTTTTTCACTTGTTTCTAATGCTGCTTCCCATCATCAGACCGTGATACAGCCAGGTACTGATAGAGCTGCTCCAGGGAGGATGCTGCAGAGCTGAGGGAGCTTTCTGAGGAAAGATCAAGAGAAAATAAAAATCTTTGATGTGTTTGTCCTGTTGTGACAGTGACAGAGCTGGAGCAGAAGCGCCTCAGGGTAACAGCGAGGCCTAGAACAGGCCTCACCCCGGGCTGTGACACAATTCTGTCCAAAAAAAGGTTTAATCTTTTCTAACCCAGGCTTGTACCAATGTGGATTCTCTGTGTGGGACTTCTGTGCTCCAGGCAGAAGGATTTTTATTCCTGACAGGAGCTGCTGGAACAAGATCCTGCTCCCCATGGCCCTGGGGCTGTGTTACCTGCAGGGATAGAGAGTGCAAAAGTTAAAATGCAAATTTTTATTGTGTGATCCTTGGTGGCTTGTGCCTCCTAACTGAGGGTCATTCCCTCTCACTTTGGGCAGTGTTTTTGTTGTGTTTCAGGCTTATTCAATTAAATAAAAAGTAGCTAAAGCCCATGGGGCTGCAGCAGTGTGGTGGAAGAGCACATGAGCATTTTCACATGCACAGAATTATCAATCATATTGGGCTGCAACATGTAAAATCTCAGCTTCCTGCATTTCTTGTTCTATTTTATCTGTGGGACCAAATGGTGAGCAGACTGTGAACTGTTTCCCTATCTTTTTTTAATCTTACTGTGGAGAATTTTTATTTCTGTTGATGCAGGGCCTTTCAAATAGCCCCATAGCCTGTCTGATCTCCTTATCGGGGCCAGAACATAACAGAGATTTCAGTTTCTCAGCTGCTTGTACTTTCCCAGATTTAAGTTTAGCATGGATGTAAATCATCCTGATAATATAAAGCACGGACACAAAAGCTGTAATTAACAGGAACAATTAAACAGGGACCAGTGCAAGACAGCAGAGGAGATCAGAGGGGCCCATCTAATGCTGCTTTTCCCAGAGAATGAAAGCCCAAATAATTAAATTAAAACAGTGATACTGAGCTGTTCTAATTCCTCTCTGAGCTGTGTGAGCTGAGCTGTTCTGCACAGCAGGAGAGAGGGAGGCTGACACAGGGATGGGGATGGGTGTCCTGTCCCCCCACTCCAGGTCATGGAATCATGGAACAGTTTGGGTTGGAAAATACCATAAATATGATTTAGTTCCACCCCTCTGCTACCTTCCACTAGACCAGGTTGCTCCAGCATGTTTCATTCTTTTCTACTGGGCTGGTTTGGGGATTTTTGATTTATTTTTGGCTTGAAGCAGAGATTCTCAGATAGTGGAAAAAAAACAAACCACCCAAACCCTCAGTCTCCCAAATCTCATCATCCTCCATGGCAGTGCAAATTTCTGGGGTGCCTGGCTGTGAATCACCTAATTTTGAAAGCAATTCAAGGGTTCAGGATCAAAAATCTGTAAGGCAGCTCTGAAGGCAGGCAGGCTTTTTTAGAGATGGAGGAATTGGATGAAACCCAGTTTCAGCCACATCTTGCCTTCAATATCACCTTTAGAAGCCTTTCCTGGGCTCCTGAATGACAGAATCTGCCTCCAAAAACAGAAGTGTGATTGCAGTTGGGGTAGATAAACACTGTGGTTTGAGATTTAAGATGAGGTGTGAAGCCTCATGGAGGTTTTTTCTCTTTTATTTTATCCTTACAGGCTTTGGCATCTTTTGTTTGCTGCTTGTGGGCAGTGCCACCTCTGCTCTGCCTTGGGGCCCATTACCATTTCTGTTTTCACCCTTGCTGGGAAATCAGTGGGTTCAGACCTTTTATTGCCTTAACTCTAAAAAAAAAAATTAACTTTGCATCTGTTTTTCCTCTGGCTTTCTGTAGCGATGTTTGTGGCACTTGCCACGAAGGGTGTGCCAGCTCTGGTGGCAGGAGGCGATGTGTTTTCTGTCAAACCCTCTATCAGCCAATAAAACAGATGAACTTGCTCAGTATTTATTAGTGTTTATTAACACAGTTGGCTCTTAAACATTCCTGCTGGATTTTTGCCAGATTTACAGCATCTCCCTGAACTTCACAGCAGGACCAGACATTGCAGACAGGGCTTGGTCTGTCTGGGGATGGTGACAGATCATTTTCCACCTGACTCAGGGCCAAACAGAAATCTGGGATGTTGTGCGCTGAGGAAAAATTACTGTTCATTTTTTATTTTGTGTTCTTGAAAGGCTCCAAGGTGAGGGGCTGGGAGGGAGGGGGTTCCTTAGGAGAGTGGAGTAGTGATAATCTGCAGTTTCTCCCATGATGGGATGGCTCCTCGCCTGCAAGAAGACACTGTCATGTCTTTCTTTGTTTGTTTGTTTTTTGTTGGGGAACCCCTCCAACCTCTGAAAGCCCCCCACCAGCTCCACCCCAAGCCCCTCTGTGCTGCTGTGGGTGGCACAGGCAGATCCTGGAGCTGGCACTGGTGGCAGGCAGGATGTGGCAGCTGTCACACGGGGTGGGATGGTGACACCTTGTTCCTCAGCCCCTCTGCAGCAACCTGGGGACTGGGGGCAGCTGGAGAGGTTTTCCCCATCCCTCGGGGGTGGTAACCACAGCACAGCATTCCCAGCAGGCAGCTCTGGAACTGGGCAGGGAAGGAAGGGGTGGGTTATTTGTGGCAGCAGAAATTCGGTGTCACCTCGAGATTCAGCAGGTTGGATGCTGGTTATATTTTGGGAAAGATCTCTGTCTATTCCCAGCCCAACTCTGCAGTTTATGGACAATAAAAGTTTCATTCTGTTTGCTTTGTACCTTCAACGAGCAGCTTGTGATCCAACATTAAGTTGCCTGACCCCATAAAACCATGGAAGCAGAAAATGAGCTCTTGTTCAGCCTCGCAGGCTCTTCCCTCCCTTTCCATTTTATTCCCCAAATCCTTGCTGCTTACACAGCAACCCTGGGTGACACACAGTGACCACACTTGCAGATAGGATAGACGGTTCCTCCAGGATTTTTGGGCCTGTCAAGCTGTTCTCCAGCACCCCAGTGAAGCTGTGCTTTTTTTTGGAGCTTTCCCTCTCACCTGTTTGTTCATGAAGACGTAGATGATGGGGTTGTAAACCGTGGCCGTCTTGGAGAAGTAGGAGGGCAGGGATGCCAGGGCTGGCTGGATGACAATGTCCTTGTTGGTGGCCACCACCAATGCAAAGGTGGTGTAGGGCAGCCAGCAGGTGAGGAAGGCCACCACCATGGCCACCACCATGCGTGTCACCTCCCTCTCCGCCTGCTGCGTCGTGTCCGACTCCTGCTGCTGCGCCGCGGCCTGCGGGGAGTTGGGGAGAGAGAGAGGTGCCTGTCAGCAGCTTGGAACAGCACTTCCACCCCTTGGGAGCCCTGATGGCAGCGCCAGGAGGTGCCAGCTCCTTTGGCTGTCCCCAGATCCTGCCCTGAGGCTCTTCATCCCGATGGAGACGCTTTGGGAACGGCACGGACTCAGCCGAGCTGGGGGCACTTACCGCCCGCAGGGTCAGCAGCAGGTTGGTGTAGGAGAAGAGGATCAGGCTGAGGGGCATCACAAAGCAGGTGACAAACAAGGCCAGGATGTAGCTGCTGTTGTTGCTGCCACCCGTGTACCAGTTGGGCCCGCAGGAGGTTCTCAGGCCTGGAATAAAGGTTGGGGATGAGCCTAAACCAGTTAGGGCCTGGATCAGGGCTCAAGGATGGGCTCCAAAACAGCCATGCCACCCAAACATCCCTCACTTTTCCATCCCCAAGGGCCTGGAGATCAGCCACTGGGGTTTTGGGCTGGCCAGGTGCCCTCTGTGGTTTGTTGTGGAGTTGTGCCAGGCCCTGACAAGGGCAGCTTTGGGCTGGGTGTGCACTGGGTGCTGCTCCAGCAGCCAGAGCAGCTCCTGCCTCCAGTGAGAACACCTGCAGAGTGTCCTGTGCTGGGGAACTTCCAAAGAACAGCCTCAAGGCGAGGAGTGTTGGCTGAGCAAGCAGGAGATATTAACAGGAGTGATTAACCCCTTAAACTCCAGCACAAACACTCTCCAGCTACCCCGGGCTTGAAACCAAGATGCAAGAAGACAACAGAGCGGAGTCTAACGCACATCTCCCCTACCTTCAGGCACGTAGCTGCTCCAGCCCAGGAGTGGTGGGGTTGTCCAGAGCAGGGACCAGCCCCAGGTGAAGGCACAGCCGCTGGCAGCGTGCCGGTGCTGGAACCGAAAGTCTCTCAGGGGTCTGCAGACCACCAGGTACCTCTCCAAGGCCAGGATGGCCAGGGACCACAGCCCCACGATGCCTGGGGGGACAGCGAGGGGTTGTGTCTCAGGGACAGGTTCTGCTGCCTGTGCTGGCACCTGGTAGATGATGGTTTAGTTCAAGTAAATATTGTTTGAACAAGAAGTTGGATGTTTTTTCCTTGCAGCAGGGAGAGGTGTGATATTTGGCCGTTAAAAACTGTGATTTTGGCACTGCTTCTCTCACAGCACGGACAACTGTGATTTTGGCCCTTAGAAATGAGGTTGGCAATGGGTGGCTGTGACGCCTTGTGGTTACAACAACAGAGTGTCCTCAAGCAGAGTTTTTGCTCAATTTCCTGTCCCTGGTGCACAGCCAGCCCCAGGTGTGCTGGTACAGCAGCCAGCACCCATGAAATGCATCCCAAACAAGGATTCCCCACATCCCCAAGTGGCATTTCCCACTCTGTCCAGACCAGGACTGACCTGGTGCAGCCAACCTTCTCCCCAACCCTTCCCAGTGCCAACCAAGGGCTGAAGGACACGAGTTTCACGTCAATGTGTTGACTGTAGGTGGTGAAACATCTCCAAAGCCCCTCTGCCAAACCCAAAAGCATCAGCCAGAGCCCAAGGCAGGTCTGGAATTCATCTCCTTACCTGTCAGGGACACCATGAAGCCCTCCAGCTCGCAGAGCCGTTTCCCAAACACGAAGAAGCCGCTGATGTTGTTGGAGAGGCTGACGGAGCTGCCGCAGAGCGTCACCATCAGGTTGGCCACGGCCAGGTTCACCAGGATGTAGTTCAGGGGTGAGCGGAGCTTCTTGTGCCTGACGGACACCACGATGACCAGGCCGTTGAGCACCGAGGCCGAGGCCACCACGAGCCCCATGAGCACGGCCACCGCCAGGTACATGGCCCGGGGGCCCTGGTGGGGCCACTGGGGGCCGTCAAAAGGCCCCGGGGTGCCGTTGTTTGGGGGCTCCTGGGTGCTGTCCATGGAGCAGCAGCACCTGGGGCAGGTGAGCTTCCCCAAAAGCAGAGCCTCTTTATAGAGCAGGAGGGGCTGACGTGCCCCAGAGCAGCTTGGCATCCAAATACCTTAAGCTTTATTTTAATCTGAAGGGTTTGTCCTCCCGCTTTTTATAATCAGCTCTTTATTCCCGAGGGGATAAAGAGTGACTTAAACAAAAATCTGATGACTGAACAGAGCATCATTTAATTGAGTAAATATTTTTTTTTAACTCATGCTTTCCAGTTGGATTTCCCTGTAAGCCCGGCCTTGGCACCTGAGATCATTCCCCGTGCCCTGGATTTGCTGGGCTTCACAGCTACTAAATATGTATTAAACATAAATAAATAGAAATAGACATGTAGTATATATACTTAATTGGGCCATATAAATGTATTTTCTCTCTTCATATATATATCCCCATATATATTTTTATAAATGCTTTTAAGTACATATATAGTATTTATACTATACTGGGCCAAGAAGCCCCTAATGCTCTGGTTTAAAACCATTTCTTCCCAAATCCTTGCCATCCCCCAAATTCAAAAGCTGCACCACCAGCATCAACCTTTTTTTTTTTTTTTTTTTTTTTAATTTTTATTTTTTTTTAACTTTTTTATTTTCAGTTCTCATTATAAATATTAACAAATCTGACCAAAAGTACACAGATAGGTAATATTGAAATACAAAAGTCTCTCAGGATGCAGGTAAGGATGGTTTCTGCAGCCTTCACATGGTAGCAAAACATTGGTACCAAACATTTCACGAGGCCTGGCATGACAACCACCAACTCTGCATGCAGCTGGGACGAGGGACGGAGTGTCCACTTAGAAAAGACTGGGGCACAAAGTGAAGGAACCCACACACACACACGTCCTACTCCACCTCAGGCATAAACCAGTTCCATAGGCTGGAAAAAAGGATGGATTGAAGGGAACTTTGCCAGAAAAGGGAGGCACAGCCAACCTGGTGCTCCTGGAGCTTTCCTGGAAGCTCAGACCCCAGCCAGGTTTTAAAGTGCTGGACCAGGAAGGATTTTTGGGAACATCTGACTCGACAGGCTGCCAGCATTCAAATAAAATCCATGCATATCTGCAGGATGCATTACAAATATTAAGTTATTAAAAAAACCCCTATGAATGTTGTTTTTTTTATTCTTTTATCTCCCCCCAATATCAAACAGAGTGTAACAAGGTGTAACACGATCGTCACTTGGAAAAGTAAACGTAGGTTTCCAGAGATTCCACTGCTTCCCAAGAGACAAAAATGAAGTTGGCAATACGTGCACAGGGGCTTGGAAGCTGAGGGTAACTGAGACTCGTGGGCAAAGAGCAGCTCTTCCTAAGAAATCATCCTTTAAAGGCTTCAAGAAATTTTGGGAATGGTGCAGCATTTCCTAGAAAGTTTTAGCTCATCCCACTGGGTGCCTGGTGGGATGAGGATGAGCCAAGACAGATCACAGAGAATGATATCTGAGATTATGGTAATATTCATATATTATTACTGTGCCATACACAGAAATTTATTTGGTTTGGATGCTGTTTGAGGCAGAAAATGAATCAAACCTCACGGCCATGCTGAACTACAAACACAATTCCAGCTCAGCTCCGAGGCTCAGCATCTTCATTAATTAATTGATTGAATTGGAAAGGGATGAAAAAGGGAAAAACGATAGAAAAATTCAGCCTGGAAGCTGGCTTTGCTGGAAAAACAGCCGTGCTGCTGCATGGCATGGTTTCATTAGCAGAGAGGCTGCTGCCAGTCCTGGGAAGCAAGAACAGCCAGGCTGTTCCAGGGAGCTTTTTATTTTGCCTCCCAAATGTGAAGCTGCCCGATCCCAGGAGGAAAAGTGTGCTCTGCACAGCTCTGCTGCCTTCACGTGAGTTACTGGAGAGGACGAGCACAACATTCCTGGAAGGAAAGCGAACACTCTTTCCAGGTTTACACAATCATTCCAACAGAGGAGCTTTAAATGCATAAAAGACTGTTTAGGCCCGAACCACAGAGACTGACAAACCACCAGAGATATGGCACAAGCTGCCCCGAGGAGACAGTTCTGTGTTTTGTGTGTTTTTAGGGATGCCTTTTGCCGATGCCGGACACACGGACGCGGACGGACGCATTCATTTTTGCCACTGACTTGCAAGGCAGCGAGAAGGTAAGTGAGTAGAGGCAGAAGGTAAGGGAGAGGAGGCAGACTGCAGTGCATGCAGGGGTGCACACCTGCGTGAGTGTGAGCGTGAGTGTGCCCGTGCCCGCTCCAGAGCGGCGCTGGGAGCGCGGCAGGGCGCAAAGAGGCCTTCTGGAAAAGCCTTGGGAGCGGCCGCCAGAGCAAACCACCTGTGCCTTCTTCCCTGGGAAGGGCTTCCCTGCAGCCAGGCCCTGCTGTGGGGTGTCCTGCTGTCCTGGCTGTCCCGGGATCCCCCGGATCCAAAGCTGGGATGAGCCCAAAGGCTGTGGAGCTCAGTCGCTGAGGACGGCGCCCGGCAGCTCGTTGGTCAGCGTGTGCCAGCGCTCGATTTTCTTGTCCTTGTTCTTCAGGCAGTCGAACCAGTGCTTCAGCCGCTCCCCTTTGGCATTAATTCCTAACACGACTCCGCCTTGGGAGGGAGACAGAGAGAGGGAGAGCTGTGGGGGGAGCATCGGCTCTGCGAGGGATGCTGAGAGATGCCGAGGGACACCGGGGGATGCTGCAGGGAACCGGGTGATTCAGCATCCTCGCAGCATCCAAGCTGATGTGAAATGAGGCCCAAATTCCCCACCCCCTGATGGCTGGGGTGTGGGACCTGTCCCAGGCAGTGTCCCTGTCCCTGGCAGTGCCCCTGTCCCTGGCAGTGCCCCTGTCCCTGGCAGTGCCCCTGTCCCTGGTGCCAAGGGCTCTCTGCAATCACAGCGGCTGCCAGAGGTACCGGGCTCTTGGTAGTGATAAATCACAGCAACAAAATCACAACAAGCCCAGACATCCAACAGAGATAAATGAAACCTCCCTGTTAAACCTGTTTTTCACTCAGAGGAAAACATCTGAAAACAGAAGGGGAGAGGCAGGTGCGTTTTCTCCCTGCTTGGATGCTCCTTGAGAGGCTCAGGGGCAGGAGAGGGATAAAAGCAGAACTGAAACCCAGCGAGAATGAATGTGGGCATGGAGAACAAACCGGGAGGCTGCAGGAGTGCAAGAGAAGGAAGAGGCACAGAAAATGAAGATAAATAAAAAAGAGGCCAAGGAGACCTTCTGGAGTGTGCTACTCACCTATGAAATCGTTGGATTTCCCGATATCATAGTCCCACACAGTGACTTCTAAGGTTTTCTTTGCCAGGTCACCGTGCTTTATCTCATAGAAAAACTCCTGTGGAGGAGCAGAGGTAGAATCAGGATGAAACAGGGGCTGGGGCAGCTCATCCTCCTCCTCAGGCTTTGCTGCCCACAGGGAACCCAACCTCAATCCCTCACACAGTGACTGAGGTAGGGGGAGTTTTATCTTTTAAGTCTGAGGTTGAGAAAAGCCCCTCGGTGAGAACCACACCCACCCCAAACCCACCTCATTGAACTCGGGGTTCAGCGTTTTCTTCTTCACTGCTGTCTTGTGCTTGGATTTCTTGTCCTCATCTGGTTTCAAGTAACTGCAAGGAGACCAAAGCATCCCCGTGGGTCCCAGTGAGGGGGGCAGCGTCTGTGGCTGCAGGACCAGCTCCTGAGCAGAGCCAGCGTGAGGTGGGTGGCTGAGCCCCCTGAACCTCCAAATCCTCCTCCCCTGCTCTCCCCTGCCAAAACTCTGGGGATGGCTGGGAGGAGGCAGCATTTCCCCACCTTAGAACCAGGCCCAGCTGCTGGCTGCAATCAGAGAGCACCGATTATCCCATCTCCAGACCCTAGGGGACACTGGCACTGCACACACGCTCCCCAAAGCCATCACTCCCAGCCCAGCCCAGACTCAGGTGTGTGACTGGTCTGCTCAGGCAGAGCCTCTCCAGGGGACAGCAACCACATTCAGGGTGGAAAAGGAGCAGCTTCGGGCTGTTCCTCACAGATATTCTGCAGCACAGCACCAGAGCTGGACAGCAAACGAGGCTGAAGTGTCATCAGGCAGAGAGGGCACCAGAAACGTGAGCCAGGACAAAGTCAATCCATCGTGGTTTTGTGCTGCTGCTGCCCCTTTAAACATCAGTTCTGCTTCCTTGCTGCACGTTCCAGATCTTGCTCAGAATTAAAAATTAGGGCTTGTACCGAGAAGCATCACTTTTCTATCTGCTCTGATCCCTGCAGATGCAATCTCCTGGGGATAGCACAGGGGACACCCAAAACTGGCTGGGTGCAAGGGGAATTGTGTTGCTCGGGGACTGAGCCTCCCATGGGCATCTAAAAAACCAAGAGGGGATTTTTTATTTTTTTTTTACAAACACCTCCACCCCTAAAAACCACTTAAATAAGAAGGTGCAGATGTGCTGCTGATACACTCCATTCCTGGGTCTCCCAGCTGTGGTTTCTCCCAGCAGTTCTGCCTTAGCAAATACCATCCCTAAAAGCGCCCGAGTTTGAGTCAGCACGGTGGGGACAAGGAGATGGGACATGCACAGGGTCCCTCCTCGCCATGGTCACCCCCTCTCTGCAGAGAATTTGAAAAATTCCATCCCCCCAAAAACCCAGGAGCTGCGGTGGGACAGGAGGGACAGCCCCACACCACCAAGTCCTGCCCCAGCTCACCTGCAAGCTCTGCCAAACAATGGCCAGGGAGTAACGCTCCAGGCACAGGCAGGCTGCTGCCTCATTTGCATCTCCTAATGAGAGCAATTAATGCCCGCAGCGGGGAGAGGCGGCAGGGGACAGCAGGGCTGCGGGTGACACTCACATTTTGACGGGTGACACTCACATTTTGGTGGGTGACACATTTTGAAGGGTGACACTCACATTTTGACAGGTGGCACTCACATTTTGGTGGGTGACACTCACATTTTGACAGGTGACACTCACATTTTGACGGGTGACACTCACATTTTGATGGGTGACACTCACATTTTGACAGGTGACACTCACATTTTGAAGGGTGACACTCACATTTTGACGAGTGACACACATTTTGACGGGTGACACATTTTGACAGGTGACACATTTTGATGGGTGACACTCACATTATGACGGGTGACACTCACATTTTGACGGGTGACACATTTTGACAGGTGACACTCACATTTTGACAGGTGACACTCACATTTTGGCGGGTGACACTCACATTTTGAAGGGTGACACTCACATTTTGGCGGGTGACACTCACATTTTGAAGGGTGACACTCACATTTTGAAGGGTGACACTCACATTTTGACGTAGGGGTCGGAGTAGCCGTTGGCGTCCATGGCAGCCAGGTGTGCACAGCGCATGATGCCCACCTGCAGCCCCTGCTTCTGCGAGCTGTACTTGAGGGAGATGAGGATCCTGCCACGCTCCTCCAGCGACTTGTCCTCTGTTTTATCTATCTGGGGAGGGAATGCACCCAGTCTGGGGGCTGTACCGCGATACAGCCGCAGCCAGGCACCTCCTCAACCCAGGGATGCTCTTCCCCACATCCCTGACGATGTTTGAGGGACCACACAGCTCCGTGCTCCCAAATGCCACAGGGAGAAGCTGCTGTGTCTGTGATTCCAAGGTGGGACGAGGCTCTGAACCCCCCTCACTCACCGGCAGCTGCTTCTCCAGGCAGATGTTGAAGTTTTTGGTCTGGTTGGGCTTCAGTTTCTTCAGTGGGATGCGCGTCTCCCCGATGAACTCGTTGTGGCGGAACTTGTCCTCGTCACACACCGAGATCCTGCAAGGGACACGGGCTGAGCGGGGACGCTGCAGAGAGGGGAGGGGCTGCCCTCTGTGCTCTGCAGGTCCCCCTTCCCAGGCCATGGACAGGGCACCTCCTCTGCAGACAGCTGGAAAACAGCTGGAACGCAGCTGGAAGGCACAGGGCAGCTCACGGTGTGAGTCTGTGTCCAAATGCACATCCCAGCCCAGGCACTGCTGGAAAAGCAAACTGGAGCCTCAATCATCCTAAACCCTTCCACTAAACCATCAGAGTCATCAGGGACTAAGGCAAAATTACTCTGAGTTGCTGGGGGTGCGTTTTGCCCAGCCATGGAGGCTCTTCCTCATGGCTCCCTTGGACTGTGTGGCTGGGAGAAGCCTTTGTCCCACACAGCTCCTTCCCTCGGAGCTCGGGCACTGCTGGAGGTGGCAGCTCCCAGGGTGACCTTGGCTGGGACACAGAGAGGTTCTGCCACCCCCAGCCCCACCAAGCACACAAGGCCATGAGTGATTTCCACACCCAGACCATGGCAAACATCACACCTTGGGCAGGTGGAGCTCTCCCAGCCCCGCTGGGATCCTGGGATGCGTCCCAGTGGTGGCAGCTGTGTCTGAGGGCAGGGATGTGGTGCTGAGCCCAGGCTGTTTTCCATGAAAAAAGCTATAAATGCTTTTCCCTGAGCTGGCAGCTAATGAGTCATTCCTCTGCTGCTTCCCAGCCTGCTCTGGGCGTCAGGAGGGACGGCAGAGGAGCAAAGTTAGCGCTTGCAGAGAGCCTCTGCTCGCAGCTCCCAAAATCCCAGAGGGCCAGAAGGGTGCCTTGAGGGACCAGCTGTTCCCAGCTGTGCTGGGAATGGGGAAATCCAAAGGGAGCATCCTGCATCCCTGCTGGAGCCACACAGGGACTAGCTGGGCTCCCTCCCCGTGAAGGAAAGGCATTTCTTTTCCCTTCCCCTACATCCTTTCTCCCTTTTTTAAAAAACAGTGTTCTTACAGTGTCTCCTCATCTTTTGGGCACCTGATTGTTTTTCACCCAGTCCCTTTGGTGTCCATCTTCCCACTTCTGCTCCAGGGGAAGGGGGAAAGTAATTAAAGATTAATAATTAGTAATTAAAGATAAATAATGCCCTGTGATCCCACCTGAGAGTAGCTAATTGCACACCCATAATGTCATGGATGGGTTATCCATGGATGATTTATCTACAGATTGTTTATCTGTGGATACTTCAGTGCCTTATCCAAGGATGGTTTGACCACCCTCATGCTCACAAATGAGTAACAAAGAAGCCATGGGGATGTCTCAGTGCCACAGCACAAGGATCATCAGGGCTTGGGAGCAGCAGAGGAAATGGGTTTGGGAAAAAAAAAATTAGGCAGGAAAACAGGGAATGCTGCACTCCAGAAAACTGTGGCTGGATGCAGCGTTACTATAGATACCCACGGAAAAAAACACCCCACCAGAATGGTAAAATCCTCAAAGAGAATCTCAGATGCAGGCATGATATTCCCCATCTCCTCTCCTTTTTCTTGTGAAGAGCAGAAGCAGCAAAGGAGCAGCAGCAGCTCCAGAGCCAGCGCTGCACCTGCCAGGAGTGTGGAGCCCCTGCCCCATGGGGCAGAGCTGGGGGGACAGGAGGGGACAGGAGGGGACAGGAGGGGATGTGGCCTCACACAGAGCTGGCAGCCCAGGATCAGGGTGTGCACCCAGCAATTGTGGAGTGGTGCCAACTCCTGGGCACTCAGGGAGACAGAGTTTGGGATGGTTTACATCTTAAAAATGTGAGAAACAATTCTGACAGTGTCCAGGTACCCCCCAGAAGCACAGCAGGATCCCAAACACAGCATCCTGCTTGCTGTGGAGCCTCAGGATGAGGCAAAAGCCCAGGAAGGAAAACTCCAGTGGTGGCAGCAGGGAGAGCATCTCCAGTGTCCCACTGGGAGAGACCCCTCTGGGCCCTGTGTCAGTGCCCTCAGGGACACGAGAAGGGCCTTGGGAAGTCATTTTTGGCACAGTGCCCTGACAGCCCCAGGCCTCTCCCAGCCCCCTTCTCCCTTGGCACCTCTGGCCTCTTCTCAGCTGGGTCCCCACATTTTGTGCCTGTCTCTGTGTGATGCCCACTGGGGGTTTTGTGTCAGCTCTCCCTGTGCCTCAGACTCAGCCCCCGGTCCCAGTTCCTCTTCCCAGGTGCAGCTCATCCCCACTGGGATGGCATTTCCAGCCCTGCAGTGCCCTGGCCCATCAGTGAAGGCAGAGAGCTTGGAGTGAGATGAGCAGGAAGCTCCAGCCCCGGCCCTCCCGTTGGAAAAAGGCGTAATGCAATCACAGCAGCTTGGATTTTATTAGGAGAAATCGATGTGCTGGAATTTTTATGCCTTGGGTTAGAAAATCAGCCCCATGACAAACAGCACAAGATGCCTCTGGCAGCCTCCTTCACCTTCCATCCCCAGCCTGCAACTGGAGCTTCACCCCTTTCTCATCTCTCCTTATCAATCCCAAGCCCTCCAGCCCTGTGTTTCACTTGATATCCTCACTGTGGGGTCCTGATCTCCACGTTAAGGGCTGTGAAAACCACCTTGGAAGGAAACTGAGCAGCAAATGAACAATCACTGCTCATTAAACTTCTCCTCCCTCCTACTCAGCCCGGGCTCCTGGGTTAGTCCTGACTCACTGCACAGCTCCAGCAGCTGACTCACGGCTTCTGCTCCCTCACACGAGTTCCTCGGCCTCTTTCCCAGCGTGGAAAGGGGGTCAGCAAGGATCCTTTTCCTCAAAAACTCACAGAGCAGAGCCCCAGGTGCATCCCCTGTGTCTGGGATCCCTTATGGCAACATGGGAGGCTCTCCATGAGGAGCAGGCGATGCTGCCTTGGTTTAAGGACAGGCAAAACCAGGCAAGGAGACAAAATAGCACCCTGGGAAAGTCCAGTTCTCCAGAAAACAAAAGGATTCCATCATGGGCTCCATCACAAAATGCCTCCAAGGCTGAGCACAGAAGCTACAGCAGAAGTGAGCTATAATTACAAATGCACCTGCAATTCCAAGCAAACCTCATTCATCCAGAGTAAAGCAATTTGGGACCCCAAACCTTGAAGTGGCTGCACTCTGCCCATTAGTCCTGATCAAATACTATTTTCTGAATAATATATTTAATGAGTCATGATGTTTGTCAAACACATGATTAAACAAAGAATTCCTGGCATTCGTGGGCTAGCTGAGTACCCCATGAATAATGCATCACCTCGCCAATATATCTGGATATGAATAATTGTATCCAGTATCCGGCCAGCTCGGGTATTTATTATGAATGCAATTTATTTATTGTATATTACATGTATTATTGAAATGGAGGAGATTGTGTTCTGCCTGTTCCAGCTTCCCCTGCAGCATTTCTCTGCCTTCCCCTGACGTTGTTCCCTGTGGTCGCAGTCCAGGTGGGAATGGGGGCTCCAGGGTGGGATTTCCCCCTGGTGCTGGCAGGGAATCTGTCCCCAATCCCATTCCTCTGTGAACTCCAGTGTGTTTTGCATGGCTCTGAACCTGCCTTTTCCAGGCTGGTGGGTGGCTTCATCCCTGCTAAGCCTTGGGCTACACTCAGGGATATTGAATTCAATGAATGGATGAGACCTTTCGAGATCCTCCCACCTGCTGCTCTCCACGAAATCCCAAATATCTGCTGGGTTTTGAGGGGGTTGGCTCATTAACAAAATCCTGCTTGGCACTGCAATTAGCTGGGCTGCCTTCACCTCTCCTTCACCTCGGGGAGTGAACCCTGATGGCTCCAGCAGTTTGGACACGCAGGGATGAGGGAGAACCTGGACATGATTTGGGTGGCTTGGGCAGGAGGGGATCCCACTCCAGCTCCAGGGGTGTCCCTGCTCCAGCTGCTGTGACAAATGCCACTTGTCCCGTCCAAAAAGGCTGCAGGCACTGGCAGAGTGCCCCACGCCAGCACCACCCCACCAATCCATGCTGGACACGTCCCACCAGGTGGGCAGGGAAGATTTCTGGGTGCTTTTCCAGCTTCCCTGACGCATCTCCAGGCTGCAGGGAGGCAAAGGCTGGCGGCAGCTTTGATCTCCACCTTTATTTTCACATTAAAGAGACTCTGGAATTGCAGTCCCTGGCCAGCTCAGCACCAGGGAGGCTCCCAGGGAATGGTCACCGCCCAGACCGAGGGGAGCATCGCTGATGCTCTTTCAAGCAGCACCAGCTGCCTGGCAGGAGCCTCTCCTGATCAGCACAGGGAAAACCAGCATCCTCCTGGCTTTGAAGTCGTCTTTTCCTCGTGGAAAAGGAGATATTTTGAGGAGAAGACGGATGGGTGAAGCAAAGCACCCAAGGCAGGGCAGTGCATGGAGACGTTTCCTGCAGGAGGAGAGTGAAGGGCCAGCTCATAGCAGAGAAACAGCTCCAGCCACAGCAAAACACTGACAGATGGCCAGTTTAGATGGGATATTGGGAAGAAATCCTTCCCTGGGAGGGTGGGCAGGCCCTGGCACAGGGTGCCCAGAGAAGCTGTGGCTGCCCCTGGATCCCTGGAAGTGTCCAAGGCCAGGCTGGAGCAGGCTGGGACAGTGGGAGGTGTCCCTGCCCAAGTGAGATGATCTTCAGAGTCCATCCAGCCACATTCTCCTGCGGACTGAGGGCTCCCAGGTGGGGTACAGGGCTCCATGCACAGTTTTGAGCTTTGGGGAGGGCACAAGGAGCTCCACAGCACCCAGGCTGGCAGGCAGGGATGGGATGGGGCAGAATTTCTGTGGGGAGAAAGGCAAATCTAGCCCAGGACATATTTTGGTGCATCCCCCATCCCACAGCTCCCTGCTGCCTCTAGGATAAACATCCCTTCCCAAGGGAAAAGCAGCTCCCAGAGCCCTGAAAGAGTGGGGGTCGAGCCCTCCTGCTCCCTGTGGACTTCCAGCAAACAACTCGGCCAACAGCTCCTTACAAACCAATTTCCACGCTCGAGGAAGCCGCAAACTTCAAAGCCTGCAGTGAAAAAATACCCACCAATAATAACAACAAACTGGAGGCTTCCCAGCCCCACCAGCCTGCAGCACTTCCAGCATGACTAATGTTTCCCAAGTGAAAATAATAATAATCCACGGTGCTGAATTTCCCATCACCCTGCACACCACAGGTGGGCTCTGCCCCGCTTCACCTCCAAGCAGGACCTTCCACAAGGCAGCTTTGTGCTCCTGGAGTGAGGAAAATCACAAACTCCCGGGGCACCTGCAAATGAGGAGGGTGGGATTCCAGCCACGGAGCTGGCAAAGCCCCCAGTCCTTGGAGAAGGATGCAAAATCCTTTCTTTGAGAGTGGATCTTACAGCAAATCCTGCAGCACGGCCCCAGATCAGTGTGGTGATGGAGGCTGCCCACAATTCTGGCCCTCATCCAGGTGGGACAGAGGCCAAAACATGAAAAATCTTTGCATTCACAGGTGTCTGCTCCCTGCAGAGCATCGTTCCAAGCTCTGCCCCTGCCCACCTCCATCCTCACACAACCTCTCCCAGCCCCTGGGAGATGCTGCCAGGAGATGCTGAATGCACAGACTGAGCCAACAAAATAAAATGATAAAATAAAGACTTGCACTCTTTGTTTAGCTGGACACCAATTCACAGATGCCTCCAGATTTCTCACAAAAAGATCAGCTCTGAAAGGGGCCCAGAACTTCCCTGAGGAGATTTTCTCAGCAAGACACGAGGGCAAAGCCTCAAGGTGTGTCCCTGAGAGCTGGGCAGGAAGAGGTTAAACCCACAGCACAGCTCCTCAGCAGGCAGGAGCCAGGCAGAGCTCTGAGGTTAATGATGCAGCAGGAGCAGGCTCCTCACTGGGTACCCCACTGTAAATCAGGGGGCAGTGGCTCTGGAGGTGACAGATGGGTTCCCTGGGGACAGCTCTGCCCAGAGCCCTCCTGAGGGGCTGAGCAGGGGGGTGGAATTGTCACTGGGGTGGGGAGGGACAGCTGGCACGGGGCTGAGGGAGGGGATGTGTCCCCCTGGGATGGGGCCCTACCGCAGCGTCTTGCGGATCATGTCCTCGTCGGTGATGCCGTAGTAGGTGAGGGTCTCGTTCCAGGTGGGGTTCAGGGTGTTGCGAAGGGTTTTGGTTCTCAGCTTGTTTGCCTGGAAAAGCAAAGGGGGTCAGTGGGCTCAGTCCTCCCACAGAGGAGGCTGTTTGGACAGGAGTAGAAGCCCAGTTTGGAGAGGAAGGGGCAATTTGTGCTGTCACTCTTCCGTCCCAGTGCTGTAACCCTCGATGGGGTGGCCCAAATCCAGCCCAAATCCAGCAAAAACCTGAGGGGCAGGGACACAGCAGCTCACTCATTTCCAAACCAACCCAACCCCACATCCTGAGAACAGCCAGCAAAACGGGAACCTTGGCAGAACACAGACTGGGATTTCATTTCAGTGGCAGGAGAGAGCAAGGGGGAGGAAAAAAAAAATCCATTTTGGGTTAATAAGAACACCAGTTTGGTGTTCTGGCTGTTTGTTTGCACTCCTGCTCCCAAGCACAGCTCTTGATCCTGCCTGACTCCAAACAGCTTCCTTGACAGGCGTTTTGTCAGCAACTCTGCTGAAGGGGAGGACGGGGACAGCAGGGCTTGTGTCCCCTGCATGGGTGGGACATCCTGGCACACAGCCACTCCCCAGCTCAGGGGACATGGAGCTCCTTACTCCCTGAGCCCCCCTCGCTTCTGGGGAGAGCAGAAAAGAGAGGCTGAGGCTGCAGCCTGGGCTTCTCCAGCAGGCTCCCAGCCTGGCACAGCCTGGCACAGCAGCAATTTTCCCTCTAATTAGGTGTCAGACAACTCAATCCCTGCCTCAGCTGCTGCTGGGCATAAGAAACTCTCAGCACATCCAAACCTCCAAGTTGTTTTGTGGATCTTTATGGGAAGCTGCTGCATTCCCCACTTTGCATTCAGGAGCCCTGAGTGACAAGGAGAGCAGGGAAAGTGCCCCAATGGCACCCACAGCCTGCTCAGAGCTGCGGGAACCAGATCCAAATCCTGGGGCTCCAGGGATTGGAGAGGAAAATGAGTTTAGCCAGGGGGGGTGACATGATGAACATCACCCCTCTGCTAAAGCTGCCCTGGGAAGGGACACGAGCGAGACCAGAGGAGCTGAGCTCCGGAGTGCCTTTTTCTCCCATCTGGAATGACTCAGGAGTCAGCAACCAGCTCTGCATGGGGAATGAATCCAGCCCTGCTTCCCACACCCACAGGGTGCTGAGAACCCAAATTTGAGACAGAAACACCCAAGGCACTCGAGGACTGTCCTGCTGCTGGAACAGCTGTGCAGGAACACCCAGGCCAGGCCAAATCCACAATCCCCCAGAGCTGCTCCCCTCTCCCGGGGGGATCCGGGCGGTGCTGCTTGGAGCAAAGCACAGAGCTGGAGCAGAGATGCTCCCTCCACAGCTCCTGTGTCCCCTCCTGCCTCTCCAGTCTCCACCAGCTCCAGCAGAAATGCTAATCAATGGATTTGCAAAACATGGAAATGACTGATAATATTGCTGATGAAAGCGCTCCCGGCTCTGTTTGCAGCGGAAACTCAAAATGTGGTTAAAAACTCCCTCTGCCGCCCTGAACATTAGGAATTAATCCAGCTGAACTGTAACAAGTAAATACACCTCCTCCCAAAAAAAGGCCTTTCCTTTCGTGTGGAATAAGAGTGCAATTAATATTCCTAACACACACATGGAGCATTTAAATTCCACATTCCCGTCTCTTACACCGAGCTCTCACCACACATCAATATCTTTAATTACTCTTCTCTCCAGCAAGCGCTGAACCTAAGGAGATGGAAATATTTCCCTTATGATTTATACTCTGTTTTATTATGATCTGAGGGGTTTTAAATGCAAAAGAATAAGGGTGAAAAAAAGGAAATTAAAAGGGTCCGATTTGTTTATAGCTGAGATTGTTTCACTCGGTGCTTCCCGGGGGCTCCTGGAATGCAGCATTCCCATCCTGGGCTCCCAAGGTAAGGAATCAGGGCTGGCACCTGGCTGCCAGCCAGTGGTTTCCCAGAAAGGCATTTTCCATCCTTGTAAGGATGGATTCAACCCAAATTCTTCTGTCCTGCTCTCTCTGAGCAGCTTTTACTCAAGAGATTCAAGGTCGGGGTGCAGCAGCCCACAGCCCCTGGGTGAGGAGCTTCTCCCAGGCCTGGTTTCCAATGAGAAGCTGCAGCCCCAGGAAAGGAAGGAGAAATGAAAAAGTCTCTCACCTTGCTGGCTCCAGGGAGCAAGTGCAACTTGACGTAAGGATCAGCCAAGCCATTGTGGTCCATTGGCTTCAGGCCCTGGAGAGGGAACAGCAAAAGCAGGAGTCAGGACAGCAGTGGGATGCTGGCCAGGCAGGGTGGCCTCACTGAGCCCTCTTTCCCTGGGATATCTCTGGCCCATGGAGCAGCTGAGGCTTGCCCAGGACAGGGGAAGGAAGGGAGTGTGGATTCTGCAGGATCCAGGCTCGGCATTCCAGCCTGAGGATTCCAGGAGGGGCTGTGGGAAGCTCCTCACCTGCACCATCCACTCCTCCCTCCCTCAGCCGACTCTGCCACCCTCATCACGATTAATTTGGGGGTGAAGCGAATCAGTGCAGTGATTTGCCAGGTTTGAAATTACAGGGTTCTGTCATTTCATAATTGCTTCTGAGCAAACACACACCTCTGCTGTTGTGGTGCCACTTCCAAGCGCTCCCAGAGGGTGTGATAGCACCTACCTACTCCCAGTTATTAAGGAAGAACAGCTCCAGGCCAGTGGGAGGCTGGTGCCAGCCAAATGCTGTGGTGTTCACAGAGAAATCTGGGGTTGCAGGAGCAGCAGCCCAAGCAAACACTCACTGAGGCCATTCCTGATGGGTTTTCTACAAGACCCTCGTAGCTCTTAAAGGATGACGTGGATCAGGTTTGTTATAGCGATGCCCTGGAGCTGGTCCTGCTTTGGGCAGAGGGAGGGCACGAGCTGTGCCTCTGATCCTCTTCTAAACCACCTGAAAATTATCCAGGGGTGATGCAGAAGCCCAGCTCAAAGCCATACCTGCACAGATTGCATGGAAAAAAACTCCACAGGGCAGGGAAGTGAGTCAGGAGCGTGAAAAATGGAGCCTAATTTTCACAGTCCTAAGCAGAAATGAGAATGGCTCCGTGGTGGAAGTCCTTGGATTATTTCCAGCCTGGCTGTGGGATCCCTGCAGGAATTACTGCTGGGCTGGCTGAAGGCAATCCTGTGTCTGGATCAGAGCAGGGCTTCTCTGCAGAGGTACCCATCCAATCCTGGCTCCAGCCCGGGCATGGAGACAAGGCTGGGGGATGCTGAAGAGTCCTCACACCCTTTTTGTGATGAGCAGAGTGCCTGGGTAATGAGTGTGTGCAGCTGCCAGGGATCCAGCGGCAGGGAAGCATTTGTATGGACTGCTGTGTGCAGAAGGAATGCAATCATCCAGGGTCTGGGCAAATCCAGGAGGGAAATGCTGGGGAAATCACTTCCATGCTTTACAGGTGGGGAATAACTCACCCAGCCTCAGCCACAACACCACAGGACCCTCTCTGAGCTGCACAATTTTATCCAGGATGCTCCTGACCTTGGGAATGTCTCTGATTTGGAGCAAGAGACAAACGTGCTGCCCTGGGGCAAGGGAGGCCAAATGGTGCCCAGCAAAGAGGATTTTGCTTCTACAGCAGAGGCAAAAGGATAAAAATATCAGCAGTGAATGGAGGTGAAATGACTCAGTCTCTGGTCCAGGAGATGATGAGGATGGGACAGACAGGGCAGGGAGGGGCTGTCCCCAGACTCTGCAGGGAATTGCCTGCACAAGCCACTTGTGCTGTCCCCAACCTCCCTGGTCAGAGGTGCCCAACCTGCCCGGGCTGCACAGCGAGTGAAATCAGAACCAAGCAGGCAGATTCCCAGGAAAATGGATGGAGAATGACAGGCAGCTCTGTAATTCACCCATCAATTCAGCTCAATTAAATTACCTTCTGAGGAGGCTATTAAAGGCTTTTTTAATAGATGTGCTATGGAAGATGGAGTGACAGGAGCCTGGAAAATGGCTCCTAATGTCACGTCTACCTCCCTCCCGTGTCACTTGATACGTGTTTGGCACAAAGAGCTGAATTTAACAGGGCTCTGCTTTGCAAGGCTGCTCCTGTGGGAGATGATCCCTCACACAGGGAGGACCCACATTGCTTCCCCTGAGTGGAGAGACCACCAGCCTGGAGCTTCTCCAAGAGGGATGAGAGGCAGAGAGGGACAAGGCACGGAGTGTCCCCTCAGATCCAGCTCAGGCACCTCCCTGGCTCCAACTATTCCTGCTGCTGCACTGATTTATGGAGCTGAGATTAAGTTTCATCTTTCCCTCTACCCAGCCCCAAAATCTCTGCTGCAATCCTTTGGAGACCTGCAGCTCCCTGCATCCCAGGCTCTGCCAGCTGCTCCCCATGCCAGTGACATTTAGCTAATCAATAGGATTTAATTACAACTTGGGCTAATCGGGCTGCCGATTAATGCCACGCTAGAGGCGTCCAGAAATCACAGGAGATGGATTCATTCCATCCTTCAGCCCACAACGAGCTGCCTGCCCAAAAACCAGCCTGGGTAATTCCCAGGCTGAGGCATCCCCTTCTGAAAGGGGGCAAACAGCATTTCCACCCCGACAGCCCAGAGGAGCCAGACAGCTGGAGGAATTTCCCTGCAGTGATAAATATTTATGAGTCAATACATAAGTAATACTCAGTGCAGACCTCCAGCACTCGCCTCGGTGGGAAGGGAGGGAATGGCCAAATGCTCAGTGGAGTGGAAACTCCTGGGTGTTTTCTGGCCAGAGGTGCAGGGAGAGCAGCCCAAGGATGCTCCAAAAGGCAGCAGCTGCCTGGCATGGCCTGCCTGGGACCAGGAGCTCCTTCACCATTGCCCTGCAGACCCCTGAGGATTGTCCCAGGCACCTTCTCCCAAAAGCAGGAGACCTCTGGAGCTGTAGGATAGCACAGCCTGCTGTGTCTGTGCTGCTGCACGTCCCTATAAATCCCCTATAGCAGGTTAGCTCTGTAGGACTGAGCACAAAGTGAGACCCTCAGTGAAGCCATGGCATGGCAAGGCACAAAACCTGGTACCTGCACGTTCATCAAATCCTTTCCCATCCTATTTCCTAGGAGAGGGGGATGCCCAGCCCATCCCAGCTGCATCCAACACAGCTCAGCAGAGATCCACACAATCCCAGGGCTCGTGCAGGGCAGCAGGGGAGAGGGAGAGCCCTTCTGCCAGCCTGGCTGCTCCTGCAGTCCAGGAATGAACTTCCACAATGGCTTGATTTATTCTCCTATTGATCTGAGCTGAGCTACAACGAGTCTGAGCTCAGCCATGCCTGAAGTGTGACAGGGCTGGGAGCCATCAGTGTGAGGTGGCTGCTGCCAGCCTGGCTGCTCCTGCCTTTTTCTGGCTGCTCCTGCCTTTTCCTGGCTGCTCCTGCCTGTTCCTCCTTGTTCCTGTCTGCTTTTGCAGCTCCTGCCTCCTCCTGCCTGCTGACACCCGGAATCTCGCAAATCCTGCTGTGAACTTCCACCCCTCAGGAACACCTCAGGAACACCTCAGCTATTCCCAGGCACAGCACCAGGGTGAATTCCCAAGTGGAGTGAGTGTCCCAGCCTCCAGGATCTGCTGGCTGCAGGGCAGGGAGCTGTTGGTGGAGCACAGCAGGTTGTGTTGAGCCTGCTGCTGGTGCCTGCTCCCCAGGAGCTGATAACGGGACTCGGGAGGAACATCAGCAGATAGAAAAGTGCTGGAGATTAAAAAATAATAGAAGTAAAATAAAGGGAGAGAGGGAGGTTGCTTGGGGTTATCAGAGAGAAAGAAAAACGTGTCTCACGTGGCTGAAATAGCCCAGGTTTGAATGGCTGCTGGCAGCAACCCAGGCTCCAGGAGCTGCTGGAGCTGGGCACATCCCGAGGAGTTTCCCTGGGGGGTGACACCGGTACCCAAGACCTGGTCCAAGGGTAAACGACATCCCAGCACTTCTGGGGCTTTCCCCCCATCTCCTCCTCTCCAGTTTTGCCTGTAACACCCCCGGAGCCAGCAGGGTCCTGGCCCTTACCTTTCTGTAGTCAAGTTTTGGCAGCTTTCCCCAGGCGAGAGATGAAATGAGAGCGAGCAGATGGCAATGTAAATAAAAGAGAAAAATGGGAGAATGAGAGCAGAATGGAAATGAACAGGACTCCAGAGCTCGAATGTCAGGGTGGCCAGGGGGGCTCTGCCCTCCCCGTGGGCAGGGGCGATGCTGGGGTACCCCCACAGCCCATGGTGGGCACAGCAGGGACCAGGGCTCTCCCCTGTCAGCCCTGCCTGTGCTCTCGATGATGTGAGATTTATCAGCTGCTGCCCAGAGCTCTCCTTCCTCCCTGTCTTCCACCCACTCCAAACCCAATTAGAAATCTCCTTGGCACCGCTCCCGTGTGCGCCGAGGGAAGCCTGACCCAGAGGCTGTGGCGGATTCAGGGGAGACAGGGAGGGAAGCAAAGCCCAGTGTGCCTCAGGCCTGCCCTGCTGTCCTGCCTGGCAGCTGGGGGTGCTGTCCTTGCCAGGAGCAGCTCCAGGGGTGCTGGGACAGATCCCTCCATGTGCATTCCCAAAATCCAGCCTCGGTGCTTGTGTTGGAGAACGCTGGGGTGGGGGCTGCAGACAGGCCGTGGAGGGGAGAGGAGCATCCTTCGAAGGCAAACAGCGTGGTCTGACCCTCCGGGGCTCAGTTCACAGCCTCTTCTCCTGCCTTCTGTAAAAACCCCCCATCCCTTCCCAACATCCGCAGGGATTGAGGGTTTTTTCTCCCCAAGCCACCTGGAGCCCTCGTCTCTCTGGTGGTCACTGGGTGATGCAGAGAGGAGCCCAGCAGCCCTTTCCACACTCCCACAGCCCCTTCCACACTTCCCCAGGCCCTCAGTTCCCTGTTTCTGCTCCCAAAATGTGCAAAGAGCCCCTAATTGCCTCGATCACGCCGACAGCAAAGGCGCTGAGGCGCAGCACTTCGGGGCCGTGATTAGCAGCATTTAAAAGCCATTTATAAACCGGCAGCCGGTCACAGTAAATAACAACATCGGGACGGGCTGCTGGAAAAAGCATCAATCCCAGCTCGTCACGGGGGATGAGCAGCCGGCTCCCGATGCTGGGAGAGAGGGTGGATCCCGACAGGGTGGAGGGGAAGGAGAGGGCAGAGGTGATGGGATGAAAGTGCAGCTGGAAGCCGGTGGATCCCAGGGATGCTCGGCACAGCCGGTCCTCGCTGTCCCCAGAGCCGTACCTTGGCTTTGTTGATGGTGCAGTGGAGAGCGTTGTTCTCCTGGTCGTAGAGCAAACTGAAATCCAGCGTCCCCAGCGCGGCTGCAAGGGAGGAGAGATGTGGTTAACCTGCAGCACCCGGCAAACGCGGGCTGCTCCCCCTCTGAGCACAAAAGGAGTGCACGGAGATGCTAAAGAACAGGCTGCAGACATTATAAAACACAAAGCATCCCGCCGGGAGCCCTGTTATGAAACGTGGCTTGGCGCTGGGAGGGCTGGTGGCCGCTCCCAGCTTGGCTGGAGCATCCTTGGGAGCGGAGAGAGAGGGATGAGGCTCACCCAGCACTGGTGGGGGTTTTGCTTCCTTGGGCTTTACCTGGCTTATCCCCATCCTTCAGCAGCCTCACTGCAGCCAGCAGTGCCCCAGGAGGTGGAGGGTCTCCCCAGGGAAGGTTTGGGAATGGCTGGGACACAGCTGAGAGCTGCTGCTGGCACATCCTCCCCTCCAGCGCCGCTGGCATTCCCAGTGTATTTGTATAGTGACACCTTCAAACAAATGAGCCACCAGTGGGATCCCTTCCCAGCTCCAATCTGGCTGCAAACTGTAAATTAAACCCAGTGAGGATGGAAATACTTTTCTGGTTAAAACAAAAAACACCACCAGCTTTTAATCCTCGCGGTGTTCCTTTACGGCATCCGCAGGGTCCAGGAACGGCAGCGTCTCCTGGGACGGGACACGGATGGGGCAGGGCAGCAGAACAAAACCAGGAGAGCCTCAGCAGCAAAACTCCTTTTGATTTGGGAAATTCTTTCCCTTTGGATGATCTGAGCACGTCTCACTAATCCAAAGCAGAGGAGAAGCTTTAAAAAGACAGGCTTCCCAAAAACACGGCTTAACCTTCTCCAAGGCTCCCAGGCCGGATTTGCACAGCAAAGCCTGGGCACGGAGCAGCCTCTCTCCTGGCTCCCAGCCTGGAACTTCCAGGGTGGCTCTGGACCCAGCAAACCCCACTTTTCCATGCCTACCTTCCCAAAAGAGTTTTTCCTGAGTGCTGCCCTGCCACTGAGCAGCATCCCACCGCTGTTTCCAAGGTAACTGCACCTTCCTACCATGTTCAGAACGTGAAAAAAATCCAAAATAAAAACCAGAACAATTTTCCTTAATATCAAAGCAAGGTTTGCTGACCGGGGGGGAGTTGGACAAACTTTATGAGAGGAAATAAGGTGCTTTTTTTCCCTCACCCCCAGCATTGATAGCAACAAGGCACCCACAGAGTTTAAGGATATTCAGGGGACTGAAACCTTTCCTGCTGCAATTTCACAGTGATCTCCCAGCCCAAAGGCAAGGGAGCTACAGGTTTGCCTGCTGGCAAAAGGGAAAAAAAAAATAAAATCATTTCTCCCAAGCAAATATCTTGAGTTCAAAGCAGAGTAAACACACAGGGAGAGTTCTGCCAGAATAAAGTACCCCCCTGGTTGTGCAGCAATTTCATGGCACATTAGCTCCTGGTCTGGGTAAGTCACGAATCAGTGGGGTTTTACCTGCCAGGGAAAGATGAGGGGCGAGGCCAAACCTGCTGTACCCTGTGCATCTTCTCTGGGTGTGGCTCAAATGAGCATTTCCAGAGCAGCTCCCTGCAGCTGAACCCCTGCACATCCTGCAGGGAGGAAGGACCAGCAGCTCTCTGCTACCTCTGGGCGCTCCCAGCCACGGGCAGCTCAAGGATGGCAGCGTGAGAAGCTGGAGGCTCCACAAACCAAGTCAGCAAAACTTCCCAGATCTGCATTTTTCACTCAAGAGCGGAAGATGAAACCTCCGGTTTCGGAGCCTCATCATTTCCACCTGCCCTTTAATCAGCGCTTCCTGCCAGCCCCACCGCTCGGCCCTCCGACTTCAAGCTGTTATTTTATTTTTATCACAGAAGGGGGCCTGAGGTTCAGCCTGCTGGATTTGGCAATTTATAAAACAAATTAAAAAGCTTGGCAGGCAAAAAAAAAAAAAAAAAAAATCGGTCAGGAAATACTGACAAAGGCCCAGCCAGCCCCAGGGGTGAGGGCAGCGGGGAGCCCTGCTCCAGCAAGACAGGTAAAACTCAAAATCACCTTCACACAGCGGCAGGAGCTTGTTCTGCAGGGGACTCAGGTCCATGAACAAACATCCAGCAGTTCCCATTCCTCCTGGAGCTGCCAGGGTTGGGAAGGCACCAGGGATCCAGCCCTGGCTTTGCTCCAGTCCTGGAGGGGTTTTCCTCTAAGCAGAGAGGGGTTTTTTTGTGGATGGGGAGTCTCAGTTCCAAAGGAAGGGTCTGCCCTTGGGCAGGGGGATGTGGAAACATCATCACATTGTGTGCTAATTGCTTAAAAATGTGTCTGTTTGATAAATGGGATGGGGAGAAGTTGGGGTTTGGCAGCCAAGGGGCTGCTGTGGAGCTGGGGGTGAGCACTGGCACCAGAGGCAGGAGCCAGCAGGTGCCCAGGACTCATGGATCACGTTAAGGACATGGTCACAGTCCCACAGGCTCTGGTACATCCTGGGAATGCACAGCCAGGGATGGATCCAGCATGGCAGGGAAGGCACAGACAAGGCTGGAGCTCCAGCTCAGGGCTGAGGAGGTGACAGGAGAGCTGCAGCTACACAGCAGGGGTGGGAGCCACCCCTGCACCCCACATCAGCCCCCTGTGAACCCCCAGGAGCTCGCTGTGCTCCTGCAGCGGTCAGCACAGCGAGCCAGGGGCTGTGCAGAACACCAGCAGCACATCCAGGCCTGGCTGTGGCAATGCTGCATCCCCAGCTGGCAGGATTGGGCCCCAAACCTCTGCAGAGAAACCTAATCCCCCTTTCTTTAATTGCTTTCCCCCTCCCACTCGAGATGCAGCTCGATTGTGATCTTAATTAGGGGAGCAAGTACCTAAAAAAGAAAAGGGCAGCAATTAGACTCAAAGCGCTGTTACCAGGATTATTTAACTCGACTGGGCTATTCTGAACACTGCCCTCTAATCACAGAGGCTGCAAATAAAAAATATAAATAAATGCCTTTGTCAGGCACTACAAAGGCAGCTTGGCGCTCTCCAGACAGCAGGCAGGATGTATCATTATTATTACAATTATTCTGCTCCAATGATAAAATAACCATTAGGAAAACTGAACTCATTAGCAGGTTCTGACCCTCTTTCCTCTCCGTGAGCTGGGAGAGATTGATGGGAAGGCACTGGCCAGGGCCTGGCTTTTAACACAGGCTCTAAAAGGAAAAATAAATCCAACTTGCACGGGAAGGTGGCCTCTTCTCCCACTGACCTTTGGGCGTTTTGATTAATTCAGTGGGCCAGGAAATGATCAGAGGGCAGCAGAAGCAGCAGATGTGTCTGTGGGCCCGGCCGGGCCTGCGGGCAGCCCGGCACAGCCCGCCAGAGTCGGCAGGAATTTATTGTTTATTGCTGACATTTCCCGCCTGTGCCCAGGGTGAGGCGAGGCTGAAGGAGTTTCTATTTATACCTGTGGGATGAGAGGCAAAATGTGGTGATAAATCTGTGCTCTGCTCCCTTCCCCAGCCCCTGTCCTTGCAGGCGCCTGGGCTGTGCTGGCTGGCAGATCTGCTCTCTCTGTGGCCTGGGATGCTCCAAGGAAAAAAAATTCTCATCCCAAGACATGGAAGAGCCACTGACACTCGCAGAAAAAGCTTCAGCAAAGCCTGGAAGTGATGATGGAGCACAGTCCTTCCCTTCCCAAGGCAGGTGTGACTGCCATTAGACAGCCCAGCAAAGCTCTACAGCAGGAGAAGTTGAGGTGCACACACAAAAACCCCACTATAGAACTAATTAAAAAGAAGTCCAAAAGCCTTAAGTCCCTCTGCTTATCAGCATTGCTGCTCCCAAGATAATCTGCTCACGGATTTTGTGCCAGGGAGATCAGAGTGGAGCAGTAAAAAGACTGCTGGGGATTGTCTGGATTAGCTCTCCCTTACAGAAAGCACAGGTTCAGTAACCTTCAGACTGGGTATTTTTTAATGCACTATAAAAGATAGGTCCCTATTCTTCCATTGCTTTAATTTTTCCTTGCAATGGAGATAATTTTAAAGGTCCTGAAAGGCAGCAAGTAATTCTGTGCACTTACAGCCCCATATAAAATGTTGGTAAATGACTCCTCAGGAGGAACAGAAATTATCTCCTGCCATTTCCAAGGCGGGCTGCTGAAGAACATTTTGATGGCTCTGTGTGTGCTCCTGCCTCACTGGACCATGGGGCAGAGCTTGAGGACTTGCTCCATGAGGTCTGGAAAAGCCTGGGGGTTATCCCTGGGAAGCAGCACCAGCAATTCCTGCGGCTGGGGCTGAGCTCAGCCAGCACCCGCAGCATTCCCAGCCTGGGCACAGATCCACTCAGGATGCTGCTGTGCACTCAGGGATGGGTCCCAAAGGTGCTGAGCCGAGGAGCTGCAGCCCCTGAGGGCTGGCAATGCCCCGATGGCAGCACCCACCATGGAGCCCCAGCCACGGCATCGCTGCAGGATTCGACATCGGCTGGGAAAGGTGGTGGAGGCAGCTGGAAATGGGATATGTCTGAAAGTTGGCGTTCCCATCAGCCATTCCATGAGTGTAGATCCTCTGGGAGGTTTTGGGACGTGTCCCAGGGCCAGCACAGCATCCTGGGGTGTGAACATTCCCATCAGCAGCACAGGACTCTGATCTGTTCCTGCCAGCAGGGCAGGACATTCCCAGCCCTACAAAAAACCCCAGCAGGGACCAGATCCAGCACACAGAGGCAGGAAACCTTCCCTCCTCAGCAGCTCCACGGATGTGGCTGCACTCAACGGGATCAGGAGCAAGGAACAAACACAACTTTTCTCTCTTGCAACTGTTCCCTGCTTGGCTGTGGGTTTTTCACTTAAAATCTGCTGCAATTAATATTTCTTTGTTTTGGAGACACGGCGCCAGCCCCTGGTAAGCTCTGGAGCAGGGAGCTGCTTCTTCATGAGGTTGGGTGATGGATGCTCATCAGCTCTTCTGTCTTCTCCAGGAGGAGTGTTCAGATGAACACTTATCTGCTCAGAACAGTTCAGAGATGCAATTATGTTTTACAGCACTAAATGGTCCCTGATGTCAGCAGCAATTAGACTTTCAG